ACGCCAAACTGGCGGCTCCAAGATCTGCCTGGAACATCCAGGGGAACATCGGGCCCGGGAGATGAGAGCAGCAGGGCTGGGAGGCTCTTTTCGCACGCGCTGACCTCGCGATTCAGCGGGTGAGAGCAGCCCAGAGCAGGGTGGAGAAAACCCACAGGATTCTCATCCTTGTGCAAACATTTTCAGGAATGACGACGGGAGCTGTGGCTAGGTGGGAGAAGCTCGGTCTGTAGGTGCTGTGTGCTTCCCCTGGCTGTGCTGAGGCTTGAGCCCAGCCTCTCGGTGCAGCACCAGCCTTCCCCCGCTGCTGTCCTTGGATGAAAACCCCTGCGAGGAAGCATCAGGGGTGTGAACATGATGCCACGCTTCCCCCCCACGCCACCCGTGCAGGGAGAAAGTGGGGAGCGGGGCGAAAATGGGAGCCGGCCCTCACAAAAGGGCCCAATTAGCCAACAAACAGCCCTCGTCCCACGTCCTTCAAAGGTGGCTCAGAAAATAAAAGGGCAGCAGTCGGGATTGGAGGGCCCAGGCGAAGTCGTGTACATCTATTTAACAAGAAAACTCATTGATAAGCAAACCACCTGATGCTTGCACAGCAGAAAAGAAAACACCTGGTTCTGCCTGTGGGTTGATAAGCCAATATCTTTAATCTTTTTTTTTTTCTTTTTTTTTTCTCTTGATGACTGAAGTACACACTCTGTGCGGCCCTATGCTCCAGCCACATTGGTAATAGTAACAAAGCTTTGATGTCCCCCTCATTCAACAGAATGTTGTTTAGTTCAAAGCGAAGAACAGAGGCAATTCTTTGCTTTTAAATTATTAGCTCCCTAAGTCTTCTGTAATGATATAGTTTGACTGAAGTGTGCAGTTTATTAACTACATAAAGACGATATTATTAGAGCGGAGAAAGGCAGCCGAAAGTTTTGCCTTTCAGCTCAGCAGCAGGGGTTTTTGATACTTTGATCTCAATCAATGCTAAATGTCTTTGTGAGATAGAGGGAGCAGCAGAAATTACCTTTGGCACCATGACTACATCAATTATTTAGTTCTTTTTCTTATAAATTAAAGTGTTCTTCAACTTTTACCCCAATTTTTTCTTCTTCGTCTCTTTTTTTTTTTTTCCCCTTCAGTTGATTGGGAAAAAGAAAAAAAAAATAATAAAAGCTGACTGGAAGAAGTCTGGCTGTGCACGTTAATAAAATTCCCACTGACCTTTCCCAGTCCTGGTCTGGAAGGGTCTTGTCTGGGGCGAGGAGACGGAGGCATGAGAACAGCAGCAGAAGGGGGGCTCAGGTTGATGTGCTGCTTAACCAAATGACTGCAGAGGTTCTTGCTGCAAATTTGGCTGTGTCTAGCCTAATTTTATTTATTTATTGGTCATTTCCAATATTGCTAGCGTGAATGCAGCCAGAAAAATGGGCCACTCGATGAAAGCAAAAGGATTGCTCGGAGCAGGATGCGAAGTGCTGACATTCAGCAAAGCGCCTTCTGCTGCTCCTGGCACCGTGAGCGCACCAGAGGGAAGGTTTCGGAGCAGGAGAGGCCGCCCCACCCCAGGTATGATGCGGATAAATTCGGTCTCCTCAGGCATCCCGCTGAGCGTGCGGAGAGGCAGACCACCGGGATGGCAGCAGGCTCCTGTCCTCGCTCTCAATAAAGCCACTAATGTGAGTTAGAGTGGGCCAAACGTCACCAAATCCTACCCATATGTGAGTTTTGTCCCGCCTTGAGTTAGTCCCCTTCGGGCTGACTGCTTCCACAGCCGATTCATCCCGTCCTAAGGGCTGTGAGCGACCCCGTTCCCTGGGGACAGAGGGCACCTGGCATGATCGGAGTGGAGGTGAGCGAGGATAAAGCAGCCCGGTGCTTCCATGGGATGGCAGCAAGTGTGTGGACATTTCAGGGGATTTTGTGCTTTTAAATACTCAGGGAAGGGGCAGAGAGCCGAGCCAAGGAGGGAGGGTATTCCTGGGATTTATGGGGCAGAATTGGTGGCTGGGCCTCCGCGCTGTGTTATATCATGGTGTGTTAGAAGGCACTGGCACCAGAACCTCAGCTGGCAAGATGAGCAGCAGCAGGACCCACCACCGGGTCCGAGGCAGCCAGAGGATTGAAAACACTGTCCTCTGGCCTGAGGAATGTCAGTGAGGGAGAAATAAAAGAGGGCTTTGCAGAGATGTTGAAGCCTGAACTATGGGAACTTCAATATATTTATATGTAGAACATGTCGGAGAACAACATAATTCTGTTTTCATGGTGATCAAAGTTTTGCAAGAGGGAGGACTCGAGACAGTGTGCTAAGCTGCTATGGCAACATGAATTTTAAAAAGTAAACTGACTTGCAAGAGCTTATCTTTTCCTCTTTAGTGTGGTGTGGAAGAGATCTGGGGACCTTTACCCCACTGGGGATCCTGTGAGGTGCTCACCTCTGCTTCCAGGCCAGGGGTGTTGCAAAATGCACAAAACACATCCCTCGCGGCGAGGCGAGACCTCCCCCGCCAACTGGAGTCCTTCCTGCATCCCCGAGGCCCTGCACCCCAAAAAGCCAAGTCATGCTGATGCTTTTGTAACGTATTTATCATAACGCAGACCCTCAGGTGTCGGGGTGCCTGTGCCATGAACCACTTGGGCTCCACCGAAATCCTCTGCTGGGCCCCAGGTGGGATGCTGCACGCCGCAGTCCCCACACAGAGGTGAATTCCGCCCACGGGGCAGGGTTTCCAAGGGCACCGTGACGTGGGCTCGGCTCGCAGCTCGGCTTCCAAGCCACCCGCCCAAAATGTGAAGGCAGCGGCGTCGGGGATGCTGTGAAGAGCTGTCGTGCTCTGAGTCAGCTGTTCTTCCCCGGCTGGCATTTCAGGCAGGAAGAGGCTGCTCGCAGAGCTATCCAAACCACGCGGCCTGCCAAAACCACACTGGGAACCTCATGGGAACGAGCCCTCTCCCGAGCCAGCTGGTACTTCCTGCTCCTGAGGCCTGATCCTGCGGGATGCTGAGCATCCTTTGTTCCGTTTTTAAATTAACGAGACTTGAGCGATGCACGCTCCGAGACTTCAGGAAAAATAAAAAAAGAGGTGCTCAGTGCTTCTGGCACTTCCGGCTCCGTTTCCCAGCTGGAGAGAACAGAGTGAAATGTCAGGCTGGAAGGGAGGCTTGAGAGATGCCGATCACCTGGGAAATAGACCTGAAATTTGGACATTTCAATGGGGGTTTAGCTTCACTGAGATGCTGTGTCCCATCCTCCATCCTGCGGGTCGTGCCCAGCTGGATGCCCCCAGCCCCACAGCACCACCACAGCCGCGGTGAGGCAGCACAGGAGGAGCAGGTCAGCCCCAAAGCTGGCAGCAGGATCCTGCCCATGGTTCCCATCCTATCCCAACAGTGTCCCCTTGAGGCTGTTGGCTGAGGTAGCCTGGGAAGAGCTCTCCCTGTGGCGTGGGGAACCCCAGAAGCTGGCCCACGGCTGCAGGGCAAGGATGCAACAACTCCCACGGGAGCTGGGGAGGCTGGAGGAGCCCAGCCCAGGAACCTCCACCTGGGAGAGGAGCATGTTGTAGATGCCATGTGGCTAATTAAGCATCTCTCTTCTCCCTTCCCAATTCATCCAAACAATACTTAACATTGCAGCATGACAGCACGGAGCTCTCCTGCAGCAGGAGATGCCCTCCTCCCAGGTGGAGGCCCCAGCAGCACCAGTAGCACCAGTAGCACCAGCAGCTGGCAGGCCACACAGCCGTGGGAGGCGGGCAAGCAGGGCACGGGGCTCCCTCGCTGCTGCCAGAGCCTCCTTTCTTCTCTCCGCCAAACAGCAGGGAGTTTTCTGAGAAACTGCCCACAGGGAGCGATCACTTTTTCCAGTCATTAACCTTACACATCCCTCACATTATCGGAATACTTTGGATGTCTAAGTTGCTGCAGTGAGCTAATTCCTCCAGGTGACTCCAGGCAGCTTTAAATGGGCTACTGCACAGCGAGGGGATTTGAACTGCCGGAGCTGAAAGCGCTCCAGACTCCAGCACGCCAGGCCTCCGACGGGGGCGAGATCGTCAGATGTCACCGTGCGAGCGCGGCGGCGTGGCAGGAGGGATGTGAGGCCTCCGGAGCTCTGGTTTCCCTGCAGGCAGCTGGGGGGTCTGCAGACCACGGGGGCTGATGGAAAGGAAGGAGGGAAAGCGAGGCGCAGGCTGGAGACTGACCACACAGGTGCTTGCCCCCCTGGGGAAAAAGATACAGGTCTACAAAGTGAAAGAGGTTGAAAGGAAAGCATTTCCTGAAGGGGTAAATGATGGGAGCCCATAGTGCTGTCCTACGGGACGTGCACGGAGCTGTGTCTGGTGTAACTGCGTGATAGAGGGTGTCTGAGCAGCCTAGGCTTGGATCCTGAGGTCTTCCCTCTGGTTTTGAGGAGGAGCGTGAGGCCGAGGGACCATTTAATGCAATATTACAGTAATTCTTATCATATAGTGTGCAGTGATATTAAACGGCAAAATTTAACTCTTATCCATCACATCTTCCTGTCGTGTTTCCTGGATTACACCGTAACTGCCTGATCAAGAGAGGCTGAGTAACAAGATCAACAAAAGCTATCACACGAGACATATTTGTCTCTCATGGGCAGTGGGTGGACACTGCTAGTGACTGCCACAGCAGAACCAGATCCTTCCAGTAAAGCAACGCCAGGAAGAGCAAACACAGAGCCATACAAAGAGAGGCACAGGACCACAAAGTCCTGTTACCCTCAGTCACATCAAAACCTGGCTTGCAGGCACCGCGACTTCTGATGCAGCAAGGAGTGCCCAGGTCTCATCCACATTGCGTTCTACCAAAGTTATATCTCCTTTGCCTTTTTAGAGTTCTTGAGGCTGATTTATCAGGGCAAAGTCAGCCACCTACAACGCGCTGAACAGCAGCTTCACCTCCTGCCATGCACACGGGGACCACTGAGCAGGCAGGAGGGGAGACTTCAAATCCCGCAGTAGAAATCAGCACGATGAACCACGTCAGCCACACAGGCAAAACTTCATTTACACTTAAAAGTACAAAATGGCAACATCAAAAGTCACAGGCCGCATGGCCAACTTGCGGAATAACGGCCCACATCACACACATCCAGGAAACCCCTCTACATTTGAACAAAAAAAAAAGATCTTGAAACTCCAGTGTGACATAAGGAAAGCAATGTTCTGAGACTTTAGATTAAAAATCTAAGACTATGATAAAAACACAGTTAAAAATGTGCATCAGGCAATGCATCAGTCTAAGTTTGGAGAGGCTCAAAACGCCACCACAGACTCACTTCTGACCTTCCTGAGTGTTGCAGGGATACACTCCAATTCATGGTTTCAAGACCCAACCTGGCACTGAGAAGCCACAGAAGGGAAACTGGAGCTGAGGCAGAAGTGCTCTGGAGCCTTTGTTGCTCTCCTGCACCACTTGCTCTTCAGGATCCTTTTTGGTTTTGCTTAAGGGATGATGCTATGCCATACAACACTTGGCTTCTCAGGAAAGGTTTGATTTTTTTTTTCCCCAACTATCAGCTGTTTCTTAATGAATTTGATTTAAAATTAAGAATTCTTATCAATCGTAAGAGGTGGACCCAAGCTGGGACACAGACACATCTGATCTTGGCAGTGCTTGAAGTCTTAGTCCTGCTCTGAAAAATGCCTGCAAGCTCTGCTCCAGCTGTGTTGTGTACAGTGTGCTGACACCTCATGGCCAAGCAAGTAACTCCGATAAGACACCATTTCCCAGGATATATGTACATAAATTCTCCATCTGCTATAAGGCAAGAAATGAGGTTCATTTATCAAGAAGTCTATAATGAATGGATCTGAACATACTAAAGATAGGAAAATCAGTCCAGAAATGCTTCAAATTCTTGAATTACAAACAGATGGGTATATCAGAGTTCATTACTCATAGATGTCATAGCTGGAGCTGCCTTGATACTGAAGGATGGCTCTAGTGCACTTCTTTAACAGCACGGCCCATGTACTGAGCCATACGTGGCAAACCTCAGCATCTCAGCAGGCGTCTGTTCGTTAGGGGGTCACATCTCGGCTGCTGCAGGCACTGCTGGTTACCCAGCTCTGCCCTCCTCTGCGGGGCTCTCCCAGGGGCAGATCACCTCCTTTGCAGATTCCTTACAAACCTGGTGGCACTTGAGCTCTTCCTCCGCAGAGTCTACAGGGTAGATTCGTCTCTCCAAAGGAACGTCCATTTTTATTTGGAAGAAGCTGTGTTGTGAAATAAAAACCCATCACGCACAGGGCACTCCTTGATGTGCTCTCTGAAACAGCAAGCGTGCAGCACGGAGTCTGGCTTTGAGTGTTTTATTGTTCAAACCCCAAATCTCAAAGCAAAACTCCTGGGCACAAGCCCACATAGATGGAAAATGGAAAGAAAAAGAAAAAAAAAAGTGCACTCCAACAGCTTTGAAGCAAAACTGCTGGGTGCTGGCGTGCACAGCCAGGTGGATAAAGAGCCCTCAGATTTGTGCTTCTGAATTTCTAATATGGACTCAGCCACTCGGTCAGCAGTGTAGTGGATTAATAGGGGCTGAGTAGACATTAATTTCAGCGAGGGTTTGGTCTCAAAAGTGGCAGATTCTCTACGTAAAAATCCCCATTCTTACAGTATCCTGTTCTAAAACAAAAAATGTTTTGAGGTTCTCTCTCAAGGTTTCTGCTCTCTTGTTACTTCTGGGTCTCCTCTGACCATTAAACCATACCTGAACCAGAGCTTGAGAATAAACACAAGCATGCAAGTGAGTTTCAGAATTCAGGGACCTAAAGTAAACCCTGGGAACCTTACAGCATTAACAGGAGGCCTGAGTGCAGCAGAAAGGAGCAACCAGGACCACCTCCTGCCTATCAGCAGAGAAAATGCTTCATGCAGAAAACAAACAGAAGCCAACAGGACAAGGCAGTTTTGAAAGGCCTTCTGTGATTCAGGACAGGCAGATCAAATACTAGTTGTGATTTGAGTTGTAAGAACCCTTCTGTAGGTGGGTTCATGGCATCACACAGCCGCACAGTGCTAACAAAACGTGCCAGAGACCAGCTGCCGTCAGTCTGAGGACCTCAAGGGCACCTTGTGGAGATTGTGAGACTGAATGGGAGAAATACCTGAATTGGACAAATTTCTGCTAATGCAAACAACAGCTCGGCCACGCTGTACGCAGCTGCCTCGTGGCCGCTGGTGCCCAGCACAGGCGGGAAGATGGCGGCTCCTCCATTTTGTGCCCCGAAGCCTGTGAGGAGCGGAGCCGCTGCCCGCTCGCCATGACAGGCGAGGGAAGCCCTCAGCAAGCGGGCACGGGGGAAGACAGCGAGAGCTGACTGGAATATGAGGCAAAAAGCCTGCTTTGAGGGCTCTGTTGAGCATATTTAGCCACGAACTAACCACAAAACCAAACAATCCCTGAGGCGAGCCCTTGGGGAAGGCACCCAGGCGCGGCGCTTACCTGCTCACCGCCTTGGCGTCCTGCCGGAGCCGCCGCTCCCGCTCGCCCAGCGGCTGCACCTTCCCGTGGGGCATGGTTGGGCACCTTGGTGAGAGTGTGGCGAAGACGGGCGAGTTCAGGCAGCCCCTCCTCAGGAACCGTCTGAGGGAGAGGGCGGCCATACGGGGCTTGGCAGGCGCCGCAGCCCCCACCTTGTCGGGGAAGGGGCTGGGTATAGCCCCGCCGGGATCCTGCTCCCTCTCGGTGCCCGCTGTGCTGTCCAGGGCCACACTGATGGGCGAGGGGCAGGCGGTGCTGTAGGGCAGGGCTGTGGGGCCGGGGGACGTGGGGGGCAGGCTGCTGGTGCCAGTGTAGATGGACGGGCGAGGGGCCGGGGAGCTGAGGCAGCATGGCTGTGGGGAGGAAAAGGAGAGGCTCAGTCAGGGCAGCTGGCTGGTGTCCCCAAGCATGGAGACAAGGCTTTGTCACCAGCCCCCTGTCCTGCACCCCCAGCCTGCCCAGAGGGGAGCGGAGGAGTCATGATTTTCTCATGGAAAGCACCAGGATTGGTGCTACCGGCCTCGGTGGGTGCTGGTGGATCAGACGGGGTGCTGCAGGAAACAGCAGCTTGTCTGAGTCTGCTGTTCTGAGAGTGTGAGCGCGGCTGTGTGTGGTACAACCATGTTTAACCCAAAGCACCACTGTGCCAGCTGCCGTGGTGCCTGAGAAATAGGACAATGAGCTCAACCCCCTGATGACTGATAATACAAGACGTCACATCTTGTGCTGAAGGCCCCAGTGTCTCTAGCTGGTGCTGTGAAGACTCAGGCTGAGCTAACCAAGCCCTCAGGAAGAGCTGGGGGACAGATTTGTCCACAGAATATGTGGTGCGTGCTCAGGACCTTCACCCACTTCCCAGAGCTTCACCACCAGCAGAAATGAAATGCAGCTCAAGTGTCCAAAGAGAAGTGCTGAGAGCAGAGGCACATACAGAAAATACACGCATGCATGGCAAAGAGATGACACAGTGAAGGATGAACATGCTGAGACAAGACAGAGAAGGATGAACCGGGTTCTTTTTTCATTTTCTATTTATTTTTATTAGACAGATGAATGCGCGGAAGTGATGGCCAAGAAACAAACAACATGCTGCTCTGATTTCCAATGGAAACAAACAATTTCTTGGCTAACACAAAACAAAGTTCAATTTGTACCATGGTCACACTTTGTACCATGCAACCTTCCTCTTCAGGGACCGAGCAGCAAGGGACCAAGGAGCGGGACGCTGGGTTATACCAGCTTATTCAGCCTATAAGCAGAACAGAGCCAGCTTCTGCCTGCAAGTGGGGGACTGGTGTTTCACAAGCACGGTGACTCTAGAGCAGGCAGCATTAACCCATGGCAGTGGGGCAGCAATGCAAAGCGGAGATGATGAGAAAATCAGATAAAGGAATGGACGAAGATAACATAAAAAGCACAGAGACAGACAAAACAGAAGGAGAATCACAGGGACCGACTGGAACACACAGATTTGTTATTTATTATTTATACCCTGACTTGATCTTCCACGTGTTGCTGCTACTGGCAATCCCGACACGCTCAGTGTCCCGCAGTACACAGACTGAAGGGACCATAGAGCTCATCACAGCCAAGCAGCTGCGGACCAGCCCTGCCAAGCTCTTGAGTACCCTTCAGTGCTTTTATGTTAAGGTGAGGTGATGGTACAGTACTTCACATACAGAAGCCTTGAGGTTTTAAACATTTACAGGCTGAGCCTGCTCCCCCTTATGGCATTGCAAAATTTGCTATTGCTTCCCTTGGGAACACAAGTAGGGACTCAAGCAAGCAGACCTTGACAGCAGTGCTGAATACTCCTGTAACTTGATTTCAATTCCTCTAAACCATTTATCACTGTTAGGTTAACAGAGGTCACACAAATCTCCATAGCTCAGCTGCAAAATGAAGAAGGCTGGTTCTGAAGTGACACCAGATGAGACCACGTAGCCCTGATTCTGCCTCTGATAACACATGCAGGGAGGGCAAGAATTGCTGTTCAGAGCTGTCTGGACTCATGGCCTGGCTGTCTCCCCGTCAGGGAGAGGCTGGTCTCCATACACCCTAATACCTCAGAATTCCCACTCACATCCAGTTTTCTCTATCTCCATTTTCCTGTAAATTCATTGCAGCAGTAAAAACGGATGAATAATGCAAGTAGGAGTTAAGAAGTTTCCTGTATTCCAGTGCTTCCCACCCAGTCCCTCCACTTCCCCTAAATTCTAACAAACAAGGAAGTTTTTCTGCTCCCCCACAATTCTCTTTACTGGCTTTGCAGGAATCTTCCCACTTCTGGTAATCATCAGCCTGATCCAGACAGGCAGGGGGTTCCCAGCAAAGCCTGGAATCTCCCGAAGCTCTCTAGTGCTAACACAGTTATTTAGGTTTCCTTATTCTAAAGAGCAAAAGAACAAATGAAAAACACTACTTAAAGTTGAAGTCAGCTCTTAACACCTCTGCCCTGTTTTCTCCTTGCCTCTGGGCTACAGACCAGTGACAACTAGAACTACCTCCTCTGAGTTTTTTTAGCAGTATAAAATAGAATAGCAGGAAAAAGACAAGAGAAGAGGCAGAAAGGATTTGATAAAAGAAACACAAAGCTGTGGCTGTAACTCTCCGGCTCTCCAGCAGGCTCCTGAGAGGGATGGCTCTAAGCCTGCACACCTAGCTCGTTGTGTGGGGGAGGAAGAGGGAGAGCAGAGCTTTCTACTGTTCATCACCAATGAGCCAGGGGGGACTTTGGATGTCATTAAAATTCAAAGGGTCACCCAAACCTTCAGAAATGGCCATGGTGCTATTCTCACAAGAAGCCTAGCCCACCCTTCTGTCTGTGACTCTTCTGCAGTGACTTGGAGGTGGAGGATACTTCGGGTGCCCTATGGCAGATGGAGAATTTATGTGACTGCTCCTCTCAGGGGGGTGCCCACTCTGCACCCCCTGGGAGGGTGCACGTCCTGCTGAGAGGATGGATGCCAGCACGGACATGCTCTGAGGTGGACTGCCTCACCCTGCTCCTGGGGAAGGCTGATTTGAACCCAAAGGACTGGGACAGCACAACTCCACTCTCCCCTGTGCCATCCCAGCTCCTGGAGGAGCAGGAGGCAGGGAGAGGGGCCTGGGTTGCCCAACCTCCTGGGGTTTTGGGGCAGCCAGGAGGCATCGCACCTCCGTGTTGTGCACAAAGGGGTTCTGGCCCTGGGCCACGAGCCTGGCACAGCCAGCGGCCTGGCTCCGGCAGCATTCCCATGCCTGCCGTGCCTGGGAAGTGACATCTGCTGCTGCAGAAGCCATGGCAACATGCAGGAAGCAGGCTGCTGGCAGAGCTGGCCTGGGAAACCTAAAGCAGCACTGACACCTTCAGGAAGGGGAGACGAAGCTCAACACCAGCCTCAGCTTGTCTTTTCCCTGCGCTGTGCCCTGCAGGGCTCAGAGCCTACTTGGGAGGTTCCTGCTTGAGCTGGCTCCTCCGATCCAGCTTGCTCATGACCTGCGTGATGTCCACAGTGGTGGCAGCTTCTTTGGCTTTGGCCTCTTCCTCTTGCTGCCTCAGGATGACGGGGCTGGGGCTGGAGCGGAGCTGACGGCGGCCAAAAGGGAAATTGGAGCTGGGCAGAAAGAGAGAGAAGCGGGGTGTTACCGAGAGGTGGAAGGGCACCGAAACCACACCGACACTAACTGAGCAAGGAACAGTGTCCCTGAAACCCCTGCACCTCTGGTTGGCCTCAGGGACACAGAGTCACCAGTTAGAAAAAACACGCTGGTTAAATCCCCGAGGCTGTGCACGGGGAGCGGGGCACCTGTCACAGCACCGCTGGTACCTGACCAGGCAGAAGAAACGCTCTTCATACATGAAACAGAGAAGAATCTCAGCATTTTGGCTGACTTTGCTCTCAAAGACTTTTGGTCTCTTAATGTCTCTCCCAGAGAGAAGCCAACGAGCACTCCAGGAGCTCCTTACAGGAGGGCAGGCTCAGATACCGAGACAGAAATGCTGCTGGGCGCTGTCACGCACCCAACAACAGGGAAGTGCAAGTGCAGACTAGGTGGTTTAAACAGGGCTCGGTGACTCAGTGTCACACGCCAGCTGCAGAACTCCTAAAAGAGTAAAGGCAGTCTTGTTTCTGCTCCTAGTGGGGACACCAAGGCCAGGAGATGTCCAGTACATTGCTCTTTTGCTGTAAGCATTCAAAAGCAACTCACACTCCGTGTGAACCCAAACAACTGCCATAGGGTGATTTTTTTCTCAATAAGATCAAGGAGCAGTGTGGGTGGTTCTGGCATCCCCGATACCCCAAAAACACTTGCTATCTGCTTCAGCAGATGCATTACCAAGCAGTGCAAACAAATGTTAAACCTCGTCTGGACGGGGATGCCAGCCCCGCAGTGCCCTCAGCGTGCTGTCTCAGCACTGCGTGCCCAGGACAGGCCCTGACAGACGTGACGGTGGTCACTGGGGGTCAACCAACATCTGCCAGCACCCTTGTGATGTGTGGCTCAGGGAAAAACTAACCAAGCCCCAAGCAGGAGGGTTTGGTTGTTTTTTTTTTTGTTTTTTTTTTTTTTTTCCACTGGCTTGAAAGGGGCTCTGGATGAAGCGCTGGTGTGAAAGTCCACGATTCCTCTTTTTGCTTGTGAGGCTGGCGAGGGGAAGAGGAACAAAAAGCAGCACACCACCCAGCCTGGCTCTGACACTGCACATTCTGCTTTAAGAAGCAACTGTAGTTCAAACGCTCCAAATTTGCCATGCAGCTCTTAGCTTGGTTTGAAAAAAGCTATTTCAAGCCTTCCCCTTCTCAGGCTGGCTACCTTGTGCCCTCACAGGTACAGGTGCCATTCGTTTCCATTTCGGCTGCCTTTCACCTTCACTTCACAGGGTGTGAGCAGCTTTTTCAGGCAGAGCTGAGCAGAATCCACCGAGGACCCTGCAGTGGCTCCGTGGCTCCTCCAGCAGCCAGCGCCTCGCGGCTGGGAGGTTTCCCATGCCCGGTACGCAGTGCTCTCTCCTTCCAGGAAAGGAGCCGTGATTAATTCAACAATCACAGCCTTTCTAAACAGACCCAACACACGAGGCAGCTGAGCAATCGGCAAGTATATCCCAGCTGCACGTGAGCCATTTCCAAAGGGCTCACAAATAAAAGAGCATAATCAGTCTCAAAGCAAGGCATCTTCTAGTGAAAAAAATTATTTCATTAAGCAAACAGCTAAATCATAGTAATTTTGCTGCAGCTCAGGCTGTTTCTACCCTTGCTACAACAAGAAAAGCAAACCCCACAATTACATCCAGCTTCACTTGCCTTTTTTTGACAGTCTCTTGAGGCACAACAGCCTTGGCCAGCATTTCCTTGTATATTGGAGACTTTAAATAGCGGCCATAGGAGTCCTACTAGGAGAAAAAAGGGAAACTGGTTGTTACTGTGCTGCAAACACCAAACACCAATACAGCTGCTCAGGAAGATGGGAATTGGAAAATCTCACCCAGCAGCCTTAGAAACTTAGCATCTCTCAGGAAGACATAGTTACTAAAACCAATACCCTTTCATCTTGCAAAATTCCCAAGATTTTTCTTTTTACAGTAGAGTTTCCCAGGTAAGATTCAGACCAAGAGGTCTTAATCCAGGCCAGAGCTATCCCACAGCCATTGCAGGGGGAAGTACTTACTGAAAGCCAAACCTTTCAGCAGCTGGCTAAAATCAATACAGCTCTTTTGCTTTCATTGTCAATCTACATTAGCTGCTGACCTGGCCAACGATGCTCCTTCCTGCTACGTGCATTTTGTATCACTTATAAGGAGGAGCTGTAGGCTATCGGTGGTCATCATGCCCTAGTGAAAGCCCTGACATGATTACCTCCTGCCCGTGTCAGCCCTCAGTCCTGCTGCACCAGGCAGACCTCAGAAAGAGGTAGTCCATCAACACAACCACAGAAAAATGCTTTAAAAAATAAAAGCAGTAAAGCTTATTTTTAAGAGATTTATCAGGTCTGGCTATGCTCTAGGTACACAACTCATGCAGCTGGATCACAGGTGCTCCTGCCTTTTCCATCCACTGCTATGAAACAGTTGGACACAAGCATCCCCCCACAGGGACACCTGATGTTGCACACAGCGTGGTACCAGCCAAATAAAGGAAAATAAAAGAAAATGTAGCTGACACTGTACTAAACACTGATACTAGGAACATATGAAATTGACATTAATGAATTAACACTGAGTTAGCCTCACACCGGTTCTGGAGGTAAAAAGGCACCAGCAATTCAATTTTTCAGCCAGGGAGTTAAACGATTTGCTCAAGCTTTGAAGGAGCTGGTGACCAAGCTGATGTCAGAAAACAGGACTTGGAGCAGACACCCAACCTCGGCCACCGTGGGGGCAAGCTGCCTCGGAGGGAGGAAGCAGCAGCACAATACAAAGGCCTGAGCCAGTGCTTGCCTAAGTCAGCACATTGGAGGGATTTTTCCAACAGAGGCCACTTGAAAGCGACAGCTGATAACACTCAAAGGCACGGAAAGGCCCAGAGACCTGGAATCCCCCTCAGGCTTTGGAAACAAACACCAAACCTTTTTCATCAGCATGTAAATGTGGGTCTGAGCAGCATCCAGCACATAGCGATGAGGGTGCTTGAGGCCTTTGACAGTGATGCCCATTGTGGTGCCGTCAATGTTAATCCAGCGCCTTGCTCCTGGAGCCAGGAAGAGCCTGCAAGGAGGAGGATCAACAGGGCCATTAACAAGTGAATTCCCAGAGATTCCTCTGCCTCCGGATGAAAGGAAAAGTCCCTTCAACTTCCCACTACAATTTGCTGTCCTAATCTTGGGCAATCGATCTCTTCAGCAGAGAGAGCTGTGTGACCTACAGTTCCTTCCTCAATATAAAACAAATTTTACCTCACTGGAATTAAAAGGGTCTCTCCACTCGCCTTGTGGCAGCCCCAAGATATTTGCTATTCCAAACCTGTATTTAAAATACACGCTAAGACCTCTCCTTGATGAGATTTAAATGTCATACTGGAGAACAGAGGGGAAAAGGAGCTCGATAACAAAACAATATTTATGCTTTCATCTTCACGAGCTCCTTTCCTACATGGGGACATAGCACAGCCACACTTAATGACAGCTTACAGAGGAAAGCCTCAGGAATAAATCGTTTGGAGAATGTGAACACATGGAAGTGGCGTATGGGACTCATGCAGAAAGTTTAAGAATGTAAAATTTCCACACTCACTTGTAAATTTCTTCTGCTTTTTCTTTGACCTTGGATTGGTCTCCATACTTGAGATCCTCACAGGCTTCCCAGAAACTCAGATTCTCTCCTGCATAACAAGGACTCAGTCAGCAGAGAGCGAGAGCAAGGAAACTGCAATCCCATTTATTAACTCCTAAACTGAATTTGTTTGATTCAGTACAAGTTGGCCCCAGCTCAGAGTCTCTCCATTTCTTACAGCCACCTTCTAAACCTCCTTGAGCCTGCAGGAGGAAACCACCTTCCACTGCCTTCTGCTCAGTGACAAACCTGCAGGAGGATGTGAATTCAGCCAGTTCCAGCTTGCCTGGGACCAGTCCCCTCGCCAGAGGCTGCTCTGCGCTGTATTTTGGGTCCTGTGCCACTAGGTGGTATTGCACGCACTGGCAGCACAGCCGCTGCCTCCAAAGTCACTTCTACTCGCTCCACTTTGTGACTTTACCATTATGTAGGACCAAAGCATCTGTTGGAATCTAAAGGAAAGGGGCAGCGAGCAGACCCACCGCTGAACTCCTTCTTCAGGAAGAGCTGGAAGTTCTGCCGACCTTTGGGGTCCCGGATCAGCTCGCTGAAGTTGAAGGCCCAGCGCTCCACACGCATTCTGGTGGGGACTTCCACCCTGCAAAGGATGAAGGCAAACAGCACCGACAGTTTCACAGGGCCCATCTAAATGGCAGATTAATTAAAACTGAACCGTGCTTTGCTGGGGTGTCAGGAGACTTCTTGGCATTTTCTGTTTTGCAGAATGCTGTAACGAGCTCCTCGAGTCAGCCCACTAAGCAAGCAGTAATTAAGCAACTTGGTACACAGTGAGATGAGGATTTATCTTGGGTTTATTCTGCTCTCACAACGCCAGCCCAGCTTTGATGGAGGTTTGACTCAGTCCCGTTCTGGAGGAGGAACTGGTTGGTGCTCAAAGCTTTGCTTCGCATAAAGGCACTCTGTGAAGGTACCTTTGGGGCTTTCTAATGGGATACCAGCACTGTAACAGGATTGCTGCTCTCAAGTTAGATCCAGCTACATGCTGTATGCTTCAAACCCGGAGATGCCTCTGTGTAATTAGCAAATGCTGTCCGAATGGAACACCAAGGGAGACTGCAGAGAAGGGGTGGACCACCAGCAGGTGTCTCCAACCCAAACTCTCTATAAGAAAGCAACTTCAGGTGTGTGTGAAGAGGAAATAGCTGAACTCCGAATTGCTACACCACTGGCAGCAGCTGAAGTAGTAAGGTTAGCACTAAATCCAGTGCTATACCTGAGCATAACTGGTCATGTTCCACACTGCTGTGCTAGTAAAACTGGACTGCACTTATCCTAGGGGAGGATTAGACCCACTCGGCAGCTTTTAAGTGCATGCTCCCAACAGTTCAGACATTTCTATAACATTAAAGAAGGCCCCACTTCAAGAAGATAATGCTGCAAGTTCAGCACAAAGTATTCCCAGGAGACACTTTCTGTAGCTGTGTCAGAAAGGGAATGCTTCCCTGCTCACAACCAGAGGCCGGATATCACGATGAGATCAATGCTTCCCCTTTCTGATCTCTATCAGCATAAAGGTCAGCGTAAACCACAGGCTGGCAAACGAATATAAATACATACAGCTTGGCGTTGAGATCCCAGAACTCAGGGTCGTCTGTTACCCAGGGGTTGCTGGGGAGACATCCCGACAGGATAGGATCATTGGAGAGGAACTGCTCAGAGTACTTCACAAGCCTGCAAGCAAATCCAGCAAAACGAAAATCTTAATTTGCAAGCAGAGTTGCTGCCAGCCCCGTTACAACCACCAAGTGGCTGCACAGATTTCGGGTATCTTCAGAGGCGCAGCCTTACCACGGGGGTCTGCAACGTGACCCCTGCCTTACTGCAAAAATTGATTCATTAGTGCTGTTCATCTTTTCCCCTTGCCTAGCAGTAATCTCCCGAGTGTCTTTCAAAGCAGGGATTTTGTCAGCTGAAGTGCTGGGAAATCCCGGACTCTCCTCCCTCCTTTTTGCCTCCCCACTTCAAGCAGTGGGACTGAGCCCCCAGATGAGTGCTGGTTCCTTCTCCAGCCAGCAGCTCAGACTGAGAATCGCCTGCCCATGCTGTTTCGTGCCACACACTACAAGGAGGGAAGTGCCAAAGAAGAGGAAAGCAAGCACGGTGTTTGCTCAGGCTGGGTTCTCTGCAGCCTCCTGGCCGGGTGTGGGAGAGCCCAGCAAGCTCTGGGAGAGGTGAGGTGGTGCTGGGTGCTTCCCCGTGCCACTGCTCACCTACCACACAGCCCATTCCTCTGCAAATGAGTCTGAGGGCTCAGCACAAAGCAAAAATCTCCCTACCCTAGCAGGAACCAGACAAACATTTCTCCTACCTTCTAGGCTGGCGAGACTGGTAATTACAACCAATTTCACTAATGTCCTGGAATTTTAGCTTTCTCCTTCCTTTTTCATTCTTGAAAAAAAATTCCTCTGGTTTCTCTGTTTAAAACTCCTTCCAGGCCAAGCTGCTTTTATGTGCTCAGAGCTGGGAGCGCACTGTCCAAGGGCCCGTAGCTAACAGGCACCTTGGCACGGATCCCTCGGTTCTACAATGCGACTGCACAAAGCACACCGCAGGTTTGGCACAGGAGTGCTTGATCCTATCTTCTCATCCGAAATGCCAAGGCATTCAGCACCTGCATAATTCAATCCGATCCATGTATTCTAATCAAGCTGCAAATCTAAACCTGTCAACTCGGGTAACATTGCTCTGTCCTTTGAATGATGAGTGCTTTGCAGCTCCTCCTAAATCAATGCAATGCTCTGATGCATGCACATTATCTACTCACTGATCTTATCCTCATCAATAATAATTTGATTTGGAGCAAATCCCATAGCTCAAGGTGGGGATCCAACTTTTCTAAGGAGTTTTTGATCCAGACACTGGGTATTATCCATCATAAGACAAGGAGTATTGTGTAAAAAATGTTTGTGCCAAACAGTTAAGCACTACAAAAATCCTAAAGGCAGACAGGTGCCCCCAGCTCCAGCTCACAGGTTGGAAAATTGAGGCAAGGAGCACTTCATGCAACCAGGCAGTCAGTGACAGGTGAAGAAACAGAGCTGCTGGTGCCTTGCAAGCTGTGGTTCTCAGGAGATGGTACAGCTTCCTGGGCTCTTCCTCCAATTTCGTTCATCTTCTGTCTAACAGGCCTGAGCATCGTGTTTATCTCAGGTTTTATAGGAAACACTGGATGGCAAGGACTATGTGAAACAGCCTGGGGATGTGGACTGCACCTCCAGGGAGCTGCCCAGCACACACGATTCCAGGTAAGAAACACCCATGGCAAATGCAGCAGCAGCTAACGCTAGGACTGGGAGCTTTGCACTTAATTGGCTTCATCAAAAATCTGATCAGGAAACACTCCCACTGAGAAGAGGACTTGCTAATTAATTGCTTGGACTTTTCCTGGGGAGGAAAGTGTGTTCCTTCCTAATGCAGACTAATCAGAGACTCCCCCAGCCCTGCTGCCTTCTGAGGGCGATACCTTTTGAGCAGGAACACTCCCTGGGGCTGAATCCTGGGGCCAGGAGGGTCGATCTGTCTCCCTGCTTTCTCATCCCACACAGAACAGGCACAGGACATAGGGCTGCACCTCAGCAGGCCAGCCTCCGGAGCTGCTTTTCCAGCCTGCAGAGCCAATTTCAAAGGAGAGCTCAGCCAAGAGGCTGAAGCTGCTCTGCAGGTGGTTGTAGTAAAGCTCCCTTAGCTGCAAGGGGCTCTTCATCGTGACTGGGGCTCTGCCCCCCCTCTGCCTCGTGCCTTCGGGCGCAGACAGGCAGGACTCAGACAGCACTGAGCGTGGCCACCGGATCGATTCCCCCGGTGAGTCACTGGCTGCCAGAACAGAGCTGAATCATCTCGCTAGAGATGAGCGCCGGAGCCTAATTAAGGTGTGGACAGAAAGAAATCAGGACTTACCCTCCAAGGGAGACGGAAGATTTCACTCTGGACTTCATGATGGCCTGCTGATAGTACATGATCTGAGAGGGATCAGAAACAGCCGTGGTTAGGAGCAGGGAGATGTGAAGACGAGGCCAGCTCCATCCGAACCTGAGTGCTGGGGGAGGGCATCCTCCCAGTAACCCACTGGATGCCCACGAAATCACAGAATCCCTCAGCTCTCACAGCAAAGGGGCTATTTGCACCAAGCTTATTGCAAATATCACCAGAGCATTTTGCAATGTGCAAGTAATTAAAACCACTCTCCATGCTATATAAAAATTGGGTAATAGCTACCATTCTGGGCACCTAGAAACGCTCTGGATGATTTAGCATGTAATTATCATTGATCCTTGGCTGTCTCTACGCTGGCGCCGCTGGATGTAGCTCCCATGATTTCCCCACCACTAATTTTGATCGATTGGATTTCAGCCCCGCTATCAGCTCTTGCTGAGCCTTCCCATCGCTGGGAGAGCTGCTGGCTGCCTGTAGTGGGAGAAAACGTCCTGAAAACATATTGACTGGAAGCTTCATAGCTCAGAGACTCTGACAGCCAAACCCAGGCATTTTTAAAAAGAGTTTATCCCCTGCAAAGGGGGCTTTGGTCCCTCACACAATACTGAAATAAGCAATACATACAGGCTGAACATGTAGAAATAAGGGAATGGTTAGTTACCTCTCTCCTATAAACATCCATTGTTTTTTTCTGTAACATAAAGAAACAAAAACCATTAAATTGGGGTGGGTGCTTGCACTCACCTTTTTTTGAAACATGAAAACACTATTGCGGGGCTGCTCTTGTGCAGTGCTCTCCAATTAATTCTCATTACAATTAAAATCAAACACAGCAGCTCAGCTAATCAGGGTATCATCAAAGCTAAGAGCATCCACACACCGTAAATCGTGCCATTAGCTCTATTTACTATTTAGTGTTGCTTCTTCCATCACAGCCTGCCTGTGTGCCTTCAATTAAGGGGGTATTCTAATGTAGCTAAAATAGATTCGTTTACGAGACACAGATTAGATCATTCAATATTCGCTAAAGGAGACAGGAACCAACACATTGCAAAATACAAACACCACAATTAAAAGCCTCAGATGCAGTATCTGCTGCGCAAGGGGTGCTTACGTCGGGATTTGAGGAACGCAGACTGTGTTAGATGTCATCCACAAATGAGCAAGCAATTGAAGGCAAGAAATTAACTGCAGGGTGTTTATTCACCCAGCTTCCTTTGAAGCACAGTTACTTTGTGGGAAATAAACTTGAGGAAGGAGAGCGAAAGACAGGCTCAGTCAGTGATGCTCCCAGCCAGCCTTTAAAGGCTTCTGCAGCCTTTCAGTTCTGCATCTCCCATTTTAGCCAACAAGAGTCCTGCAGCTCATCTGCGGCCCAGAATCACCCCAGCCAATTAACCCCGTGGCAGACACCAGGCTGCAGAGTGCCTGGTGGAAGCACAGTGTTTGTGAGTGGTGAGGAAGGAAACATCTGGCAGCAAATGCCAGAGGCAGCCTGCGTCTCCCACCTTCCCAGCAGGGAACCTGCACACGGAGCTGCCCCTTTTGGGGTTGACACATCAACAGGGTACAAAGCTCTTGGTCAACAACAGGATCGTTGGCCACAGAGGCCGTACAGCCTCAGAACTGGAAGGCACAAGGATTACAGAGCAGCTTTTCACCCTTCTCGGCTTAGCTGCACCCCTAATGCCAGGAAAGCTCTTGTGCGGGCACCTCTTCTTCCCCCCCATTTCTACAGCAGCATTATTGTTTCAGATATGCTGTAGAAATGGAAGTCAAAATAAAAAAAAAACAAACCCCAAAAAGCCTCAGCCACCTGCTTGCACAGAGAAACAAGCTGCAGTCACTGTCCTAGAAACGCCCTCTTTAGAGAACTTTCTGTTTCAGGTCACCTAATTCCTGCACAAGAGGAGCTCACTGTCTGCTTGGGGAACCTGAGATACCAAGTCAGGTCCCATCAGATTTCCAAAGTGCCAGCTGACCTGTTCCGTTTGAGGAAACTTAAGAGTGGCTGGGGCATTTACTTTAGGAAAACCAAGAGGTTAAAACCATTAGAGGATTTTAAAAGGCCCCTCATGTCGTCTTCTGCTTTGTCAGGTGGGTGCCTTGGGCAGGCGCTGGTGCAGGGGTGAGGAGGTGGCTGCTGGCTAACAGCTGGCCGGCAGCTCACGAGGCTGTTAGGTTGGGTTTGTCTTCTACAGGGGTCTCAGAGTCACGCAGCACACCACACACACCCGAGACAAATAGCTGTGGGGAAAGAGAAAGAGAACCCAGTGAGTTAAGTGTTACACAGAGTCAGAAATAAATTAAACTACCAGCACTGATGAGAAGTTATGTGTACATATGTAAAAATAAAATCAAAGCTAATGAGACATCTGCATACACGGAAAGATTTTTTGTAGGTGCATCCTACACCAAGGACCCCCTCCTGCTGCAGCAGGTAGGAGCTGGACAGCCTGGGAAGCTGGGGGGCTTTGGTGGGGTGCTCCTGAGTGGGGACTGCACAGAAAATGGGGCTATGGCATGAGAAGGGCTGAGCATGGCTCAGTTGTCACAGATTGAACTGGAGAGGACTCAAACAGGAACCCAGCACGGAGCACAGCATCCATCGCCCCACCGATGACTGCAGGCGCTGGCTGTGCTCAGCCCTCTCCAGTTCTGAAACCAATAGCAACTGGGAAGGATCTCAGCTCTCACCCCATGGCTGCACATCATTTCATTTTCCTTCCTCCCACAGTGCTCCCCACAGCAGCATTTCCAGCTTTGCTGCTGGTACCATGACCCTGCCTATTCTCTGTGTCCTTTTGAGCTCCGCCAGTTGTCCCCGCTGCACTCCCCACCCCGACCCCCAGCTGCTGACAGCAGCAAGGCCCCATAGCACCCATCTGCCCTCTGCCATTTAGAAGGAAATCACATTTGGAACAAAAGTGTAATTTCTCATAACGAGATTAATTTTGCAATGCGCTTAATGAGTGACTTAGCGCAATTACCGTGGATAAGCTCCCCAGCCCTGCAGGCTTCCAATCAAAATGGCAATTAGTGAAAGAGCTCCGGCTGACTCAGGCGAGGGCCACATGCTCATTAGAAGCACATCCTCCTCCCCGGGACCCAGAGCAGCCTCGTCACAGCTCTGCTGCCAGCTGAGCGCTCCCCGTGCACGCAGCTGCAAAGCGGAGCTGGGAGCCAGCCAGCACCCAAGCCGAGGGCTGATCCATGTGGCTGGAGCCCCGAGCTCCTACAGAGAGCTGGGACATCCCCTGCTAGCTTCCAGCTGGATGGTGGACCTTCTCTGCTCTCAGCGTGGGCTGTCCCGACCACGCTGTGGAGATGACGGTGATGGGTTTTGGCCCGTCGGGCTGCTGTGAGGTGTTTGCAGGGGATGCAAACAGCTGGACAGCAGCTTTCACGTGTGCCCAGATGGAGTTCAGAGGGAATTTTAGACCTGGTCGAATCACCCTGCAGCCTGCCTGTTCCCCGACTGCTGGCAGTGCCCCCCTTGCAGGTCAGTAAGCAGCAAAAATGAGCAGCAGGACGCTGCACAAAGCACCTGCACCAAGCACGGGGCAGCACCAACAGCCTGCCCCCCTGCACAGCTCACTTTCCTCCAGTCAGAGCAAAAACCTGCAGGCACCGCCTCTCTCAATGAGCAGCAGCACTGGAGCATGCAGCCAGCTGCTTCTGCACACACAAACCCCGCTTTTGGTGTGCAAAGCTCCCTGCAGGCAGCCAGCTGGGAGCCCTGCACTCCAGAGGTAAATTCAGCACCTAGCACACACCCATCTGCACACACAGCCCTGCTGCGCTCGTGTTTCCACCCCCCCAACAGCTGGAAATCAGCCTTTGAGCAGTCCAGATGTTGGGTTCCTTTCAAATAGCTGGTTTTCCCCCCGATCTTGTTCATTTGCTCCTGATCCCGTTGGTTCACCAGACGGATGCAGCGGAAGCCGCGTGTTTATGGGGCAGCCAAACTGACGGAGGCTGGGGAAATTCAAGGTCAGCAGCGACTACAGGGAACTGCTGCAGCTGGTTTGCTGCATGCAACACACCAGGGTGTTTCGTTCAGGAGTCCCTGAATCGAGCACGGTGATTTTGGCTAGGCTAGAGCATCATTTTAAAGGCCTTCTGCTCACAGAAGAAGGCAAAAGCCGCACCGGCAGGAGAGCCAGTGGGCTCTGGCAGTTGCCTGGTAACTCACTGAGCAGCAATGCTTCATCCTGAGCCCGAGACCTGGGTTAAAAAAGGCTAAAGCAGCCCTTAATTAGCTGATCAATGGACAACGATTGCTGCCTTGCTTCTCCTGTCCAGCTACAACTCCTAACTCATTGTAATAGCGTGCCCACGGGTCAGCGATGAAAGTCCCCTTGGAAGGAGTGCAACGTGTGGCTGAGCGCCTGTTTATCTATCAATTAGAGCGAGCAGCTCACCAAAGGGTCTGAGGCAAGCGAAAAAGAGATGTTCTTGCCACTAGCAGCTTCAAAGAAGCCATCCTGATGTCAGGAATGAATTATCACTGGGAGTCTTTTCTTTCTCGGCTGTCAAGATAAAGGTAAATTAATTGGCCGGTGAAGTCAAACTGTATCGAGTGGGATCGGAGTCAAAAATCCAACAAATGGGTGCTGGATTCAAGCACTCGTTTTCTGCTCCCGTTGTTTCACCTATGTCAGAGCAAGAGGCTGGGCCCACGGAAATCATCAGTAAAACTCCCTGCTGCCTTAGCAAGGGATGAGATACAAACAAATACAGCCCAGGTCCGAATTTACAGACAGATTCACCCCTGCTGCTCAACAGAGGCTGCTGAGCCACAGGTGTTTCTGTTTGTTGTGCTTTCTGCAGCCTGCAGGGAAAAAGAAAAAAAAAAAAAGCTTCAAGTCCAGTGGTGAATATGTGTGAGCTTTTGGCTGTCCACAGACTTTGGATTTTTTTTTGGTTTTGGATGCCTATGGGCTTTCAGGCTATTTGCAAAGCTAAAACCTCTTGTGTCAGCTGTAAAACTGTGGGTGAGAAGCTGGCTACTCCTCTTCCATTTCTCTCTTTCCCCCCTCCTGCTCTCTCTCTCTCTCTCTCTCTCTGTTTCTCTTTCCCTCTCTCTCAAAAAACAAGGGCTCTCTGCAGCTGCTACTTACAGCAAGAAAAAAAATAAAATACACCCCAAACCTACATTTTGCTCATTTTCAGTCTCTATGGTAACAGAACACAGTTGGCCAAAGCAATTATCCTGCCTCTGGCTGTTGAGATGTTTAAAGGCTGTTACAAAAATGAGAACTTGTGGGAATGCAGCGAGTGTGATCGCAGTCCCATTTGCATTTAATTGCTGAGACACGCTCTGGCTTCACTTTCAGATGAACACCATTAAGTGCACAAACACAGGATCGCTTTAAAGGGCTGGGGAAGGAGCAGGAGATCAGCTCCAGCTCCTCCTCGAGCTGCGTTCACCTCATTGTGGACTCCAAACCAGTCCCACCCAGTTGCAGCCTCCACAGTCTCAGTTCATTAATTGTGTTTCTTTATGGTTCAGCCTCACAATGTGAATTCTCACACAACTACTGTGTCTCCCACCCACCACCCCAACTTTTTGCCACACATTTACCCCCACGGAGGGATTCTGCCATTTTATTTTAAACTCGAATCTTTCCTCTGGTCCTTTACACTCCCCAAGCCCACACTGAGTTCATTCAGCACTAATAACAAGGCAGCAATCAGCATCTGCGGGCGGAGGATTCCTTAAATCAGCCTCACCAGCAGAGAAAACACTTCCTCTAGCTACACACACACCGACGGATGTGTCATGGAAGCTGACAAAGCCAGAAGAAGCTGCCAAAGCCTATTTTGAGGGCCCCACACCCTGGACAATGAGACAGCTTCAACTTCTGGCACATTTGGCTGTCGTGGCCGGGCTGACTCGCACAGCCCACGTTCCCACCAAAAAACACCATCCCGGGGACATTGTCTGGGTCCTCCCAAACGAATCCAACAGTGAACGAATGCTGCCTCACCTGGTTTACCTTATTTTCATTGGGATCTGTCGCACGGTCTAATCCATACTCCAGGACGTCGAGCATGCCGGGCTGTTAGGAGCAGGAAACAAGCAGAGCTTTGTCACTGATTTAAAGTCAGGGGGACACACGAATGTACAGGGAGGTTCCCAAGCCCTGAGGGCTGCCACTCGTCACTCTCCGCTCTCACCTTCAAAACCTCTGACCTGAGAGCACGGAGCACAGCCCCAGAGCAGGCTGCGAGCAGCACAGGTTTGCCCCATGGCCCCCTTTTTCTCTGCTCATGGCTCTCTACATTTCACACTGGGTCCCTTCCCTGCAATGGGGTGCACACCCCGGGGCTGTGACCATGGCTGTTCCCCTAGCAGGCAGGAGCTTGTCCCAGGGGCTCTAAGAGGGCACTGCTGAGATAAAAGCCACACACCTCCATCCTCTACTTACAGGAGTCCGGTTCACAAGCCAGTAGGCTCTCTCCTGGCAGTCCAGGGCGTACCTGTCCGCCTTCTTCCGCTCCTTCCCTGCCCTGCAAAGCCAAGAACGGGCAATCAGGAATGTTTCTCCCCTAAAAACATCAAGATGACAAAGGTGGCACATCCTCAGCCCCCCCACCATGGGAGCTCTGCATCAGGCTCCTGACCACAGCCCTGCACAGCTAATTCTGGACTACGCCGCCCGCCGTTCACATGGCCGCACATGACTGCCTCTCCTCCCTGCTTCTAGCTTTTGAGAAATCGTCTTCTTCCCGAGCTCAGCTGGAAGCAGACACATCCTCTTTTGATCAGGCAGCCAGCCCTGCGGTCGGGTTTCACCCTGAAACCCCCGCTGCTTGCAGCCAGCCCCGCTGCTTCGTGTCCACCCACCCCCGATGGCACCGTGCGGTACCTGAGCAGCGCTGTGCAGAGATGCTGCCCACACCCAGCCTGGCACCCCTCGGTAAAAGGCACATTTCTCAGAGAAATTATTTGGAAAGCAGTGCCAAGCTGCGTTCCCAGGCACTAAAAAACTCAATCTCTACTATTAAGCAGAAGAGGAACTAGCGTGGTTTGGGGCTGAACCAACTCATTTTTTCCCAGACGAGCCCTGGGCACATTTCAGTGCTGAGCATGGGCAAGGGAGCATCCCCGACGGGGTGTTTGCATGGGGCCACCCTGCTGTGGCTGAATGCGGTGGCTGTGGGCTGCTCTGCACCGCTCAGCACCACCGAACAGCCTCAGCCACGTCGAATCCACTAGTTCAGGCACTGTGTCAGCATCCACCTCCAGAACAGCATTTGGTATCTCTGAGCCCAAGTTTGACCTCAATTTACAAGAGCAACAGCGCCATGCTTAATGAGACAGTTATCTGATGAGCTGCACGCTGACGGCTTGGCTCCCATCCCAGCGAAGGCAGAAACGGCTGCAGAACGGCAGGGGCAGCGCATGGCACTGCTGCAAGGTAAGAAATGCTAAAAGGAAGCCACAGAACGAGGCAAGATCTTATCTCCAAAGGAACAATCCCATCTCATTTCCACTGACTTTCCTGGGAATCTGACGGATTCAGCTCCCCACATCAAGTCATTCTGGCACACTGCCTAAGCATGTATTTCAGAGTTTTCTCCAGAAGTCTCTGCTGGGAACACTTCTTGATTCAGGCCTGACGTTCTGCCGTGAGACGTGTACAAACAGTAACTGAAACAGCCCAGTAATAGCTGGTGGCCGGACCTGCAAATGCTCACGGACAACCTTGGCATTGAGCTAAAGGCAGCTGAACCTCACGGGGCGTGCATGCTGCAGCAGCTTCTGCAGGGAATCGCATCAGGTGCAACATCTCAGCCTCCCCTTTCACACTTGTACATGTGCAAAAAACACTTGTGAAGAGCCATGTGCTTATGTCAGCTGGAAGGGCTCCCACCCCTGTGCTCTCGCTCTGACAAACCACACTGATTCCTGGTCCCTGGTGGACAAATGTCAGGCAGGGAGAGAAATGCAGGTGCAGCAGGTGAGGGTGAGACTTCACAAGGAGGTGTCCAGTCATTTGGAAACGGCTGAAATCCTGCACTTGTGGTGTGTGTAGTGAGCAAAGTTTCCACGTTCAATGGAGAACCCCTCAGCCCAATATGAACAGCAGCTTTATTTCACCATTCTGAGGAGCACTCGCAAGTTATTTTAAAACTGCAGTTTATGCTTGAAGCTGTAATTTAACTGTGTACCGAGACAGGAAAGCTCTGCCTCCTCATACCCTCCCCAGTGATGCAAATAACAGAACGCAAGTCAACTCACTTATACTGCTCTTTGGCTTGCATAATAACAAAATCCCACTTGTAGTTTATTTTTTTATTGAGCATGTTGTAATGTTCCTGGAATAAAAATGAAAAAGCAGTTAGTGTGAAAATTCTGGATAAGGTGCTCCCAGACTGGGGTTTTCTTCACTCTCCATAGCTCCACCAGGCCAGGCTGGCAACTGAGCCAAAAAATCTGGATTGCTCTGAATGTAATTATATGAATTGCAACAATTTGAAATGCCATAGCAAGGAGAGCAATTACTCCTGCTAAAATTGTCACTGAATTAAGAGTATTTTTCTGCATTAGCCAAATATTTCAATTCCACAGCTTTGGCTTTTGACACAAATGGAGTAACACCTCATTGAAAAGAGATGATTTTTGCCATGCCCCTTTCACAGCAATGGAGGGCTACAAATTATACAGCAACTTAGGGGGTTGCAGTGGAATGAGTACAGCAGTCTCCTTACCTTTTCATATTCTTCTAAAATCCCCTTCCTCTTAATGTTCTTCTTTGCTAGGTAAATTGCTGCGGATGGAGAAGCACACAAGCGGTCAGCTATACTTAGACCAACAAATTCAAGAATAATTAATAAATTGCCCCCATGGAAAACACAGGGACCTTGGTCTGTTATAATTCCCTCCTGGGCATGAGCTCCAAGCTCACAAAAGCTCACTGAAGAGAAATGAACCTGCTGCTTTGCTTTGTCACCAGCACTTCGCAAGGCAGTGTGTTGGTGGGGAGCAACCACGGTGGCGTGTGCCTTCCACCAGCAGCTCCTCCTCCTCTGGGAGCTCAGACAGGACTTCAGGGGTCAAACTATACTGGGACAAATCTTTAAGATGTTGAGGTTTCTTAGAGTTCATCCTCCAAGTTTTCCAGTTAAAGGCCAATGTTTTCTTCCAAGTTCTATTTAAAGCATTCCAATGTAAAATGTGCTTTTTTTCCAGAAGTTCTACAGCACAACATAGATAAAACCACAGAGGACAATCTTGGCATAAACAAACTCATCCATGAACTGCACAGCCCAGAGGAGCAAATCAGGCTGATCAGCTATAGTTTCATCACCAGCCCAATAGTAAAAGGCATCATCATGGCAGCAAAAGATTGATAGGGAAGAGCTGTCAAGAGATATTGGCAAGCACTGTGCATGATGTACAGAAAGAACCATCTCTGGATGCAGGGCTCGATCCGAACCTTCAGGAAGACAGCCTTGGGCTCATATCCAGAAATACACTTAAGGATTTAGGGAAATCTAACCTTGTGTTTAAAGTCTTCTGTACCCAGCAGAGCATTTTAGATGTATTCCAGTCTGATGGAACTTGTTGGAATGTAAGAGGAGTTTAAGCATGTCACATCACCAAGGGCACAGCAAGGTGTGCACATCCAGAGTGTTCCCTCCACTCAGCATCACACACCACCGTGCACAAAACAATATGAAAGAAAACCTAAGGGCTGGTCACAGGACTGCAAGCACAAACACGTGGACTGGTTATATCCCTCCTAGACACATACAACGCTATCACGTACCGTAGTCTGTGTCATCAGCAGGCCAGCTCTGCGTGGGCCAGAAATACGGCGTCTGCAGAAAAAAAAAAACAAGCCTTTTGCTAGTGCACAACAGCCTTGAACTCATGCCAAGCAGCACACAGCACTGCCCACACCAGAGGGAGAAGAAACCTTTCCTCTGCCCCGCTGAGAACCTGAGCTCCTTAGCGGTGTCAGCACACGCGGCGGTGCAGGACGGCTACAGGAGAAGAATCGGGGTCATCAGGCTGCTGATGCCAACCCCACTTCTGCCCTGCAGCCACTCAACGTGGCCAACCTTACACTGCTGCCTGGGCATTTGGACCGAGATGCTGGAGCCAGATTTGTCAGCATGAGGGGAACAGACTTCTCATTCAAAGTACCCCTAATTTCCCATCATAGTGGAAGCTCTCCAGATGTGAACCTCGATAATACCCCACCTTTACTGTGGGTTTTGTGCATTCACTATTCAGCCTCCCCACATCATGCTACAATCACTCACGGATTCCACTTGCTGCATTAAAGCTGGAAGGAAGCATACATTTGCAGGAAAGGACAGCTATTTTAAAGCTGAGCAGGAACACTAATTTAGTTAAAGGAAGTATCACGGTTTGCCTGTAAACCGTGCTCTGATACCCAGCACTAACATCAGGCTGGGGGAACTGGTCTGAGGCTGCTCTGTGGATCCCTTTTTCCTTCCTCCCATACCCTGAGTGATTCGCACGGCTACAGCACAGGGCCTCGTGGCTCCAGCTCCTGGGGAACTGCCCTCGGAGCCTGTTTCCAAACCTCATGCTGAGCTCCCTCGCTTTACACAAGGTGTAACTCACCTGGAACCTGTACAGACTACCGTCTGTCTTCAGGGTGAGATTCTTTGGCTCCTGAAGAGGGTAGATGTACCCATATTTGACGAACAGGTCCCCCAGGTGTAGTGCCTCTGAAAACAGAGAAGGCAGATGTTTGATTGCACGGAAACACTGAGCTGGAATTTGGAAGTGAGCTGCTACTCAGGAGAGAAGAATTCATCTAGGAGGTTTTGTCTATGCAGATCTTAAAGTTTTACAGCTCAAATTTGCACATCACTTTTTACATTTCTACCCACCTTCATCAGTGATCTGCAGACGCTGGAGAATCCACTGCAGTATGTCGTTACCTGTAAAGCAGAGAACACATCAGGCACTCGAAAGCAGGAGTGTGCAATCTGCAGGCCAAAAGGAGACCTCTCCACTCCTCATCTAATGCTGTCCCTGGAGCCCAGGGACTGCGCAGACCCCTTCTTGCAAATATCACGGCTGATATCTCCCTGGCCATGCTGTCATCCTGGTGTTCTCCTGACCATGTAGGTGTCAGTCTTTGTCTGGGAGCAGGAGCACGAGGCAGGCAGGAAACTCAGGAGGACACACTCAGGTGTACAGAAGCACACACGGCCTGAGCAACGCTTAAACCCCAACCACTGGGTGACTTGGGTGGTGCAACCACTTACACTCACGGGAAAAGGGAAGTGCCCCTTGTTTTGCAAATCTTGCCTTGAAAGATTCATTGCAAAGCATCTCCGGGTTCACAGAGCATGGTCCTGTCCTGATTGTAATAACAGCCCGGTGACCGGTCCCCTCCAGCCCTCTAAGGGAGACAAGTTTCAGAGCAGAAGGGTATCCAGGTCTGAGATCCAAGCTGCAGCAGTAACAGGCCACGTGAAACCCAAACAAGATCTCTGCATTCACAAACTCTCCATCTCCCTCTGGCTTTGGTCAGTCCTACCCCGGTCAGCACGAACATCCACTGGTTTTAGTTTTCTGTTCTGGGAGGCAAATTGCATTAACCTCCTTCCACGTAAACAGGACCAGAGGAAAACGCACTCAACTCCTGATCAGTTATTGGCCTTTTCCTCCAAAAGTCTCCCAGGATTGCAGATCGAAACGCTGACCTTTCTTGACATTGCAGTGATGACTTAGCTTTCTAATAGGGGCTTAGAGCTCTTATCCTACCGCCTGCTTCCTGAAATAGATGAAATTAAAGGATTATCTCATCACTCATTTCTAGACAGCTCGCTCTGTAAGCTTTTTCTCCCAAAGGCACGCATTGAACACGAACGTTTCTTTGTCTCCTCGGCTGTAAGCCATTTTACTGATGCTGAATCCACCTAGTTAGCTGCCTGCGTGCAAAGACCCGAGCTCTCCTCTGTGCACCTGCATCCACTGATTGAATCACCCTCCTGTCTTCACCATCCCTTTATTAAAAACGAATTAGTCTCTTAGGCAACACCCAGAAGCCAACCAGTACACATGCAACTCTTGCAACACCAAAACCATCACAGTTTAGAGAGTGATGACTGCGGTGCAAGGAGACTGCAACTCCCTTGCCTAGCAGAATTGGACTAAAATGCATGACTTGTGCGAGAGGTAACGTGCAGCAAGCCTGGCTAAGGAAGCAGAACAAAGCCCACGGCACGCAAAGACAACGAGCAGCAACGGGCATCTTCCCTCCACACCAGCCAGCCACGGCCTTTTGGGAAGTGGTGTTTCACACCGGCCAGACATCAGGAGAAGTACTTGTTCCCTCTGCACTTGGTCTGGCTGGCACGTCATCTGCACTACAGGAGGAACTTTTCTGCCCTAACCATGCAGTAAGGGCTAGGGGAGGCAAGAACACGTCTTTTGCAGATGCAGAGCACCCCAACAAGGTCTGCTGTGTGACAGCTGTGTGAGCCAGGCTCTGGATATGCTACAACACGTGGAGGATGCTCGTGAGAATGAGCTTCACCCAACTTCTCCTTACCCTTTGACTGACTCTGACTGGATCCATGGGCAACTGCCTTAAACCTCTGTGCCTCTGCTTCTGCATTTAAGGGAAAAAAAAAACAAACAGGGCAAACAAAATGCAGAGCCTACAGGGCTTCACAATCATGCTCGGGATGAATTCAGCTATTTGGCTGAGCTCTCTCCTGATCTGCCCACAGCAAGCTCTTTGGTTTCAGGGGGATTTTGTGTTCTGAATTTCAAAGTTCTGCAGAAAAAAAAAAATAAAAATCAGGAGGAAACATTGGTTCAGTATGTGTGAATATTTATAGTGGAAGGTCCCCCACAAGGGCTTTTGTGGAGGCTTGGAGAACAGGGAGCGGAGGTACTGGTGGTGCATTGCTGCTGCCCTGTGAAAGGAGCTAGCAGGCACAAAGGAGACTGTGCTAAGAGCTGCCTGTACCGCTAGACATGACACCTCACAACCCAGCTCCACGTCTTGTTTCTTCTCCAGCCTGCTTGAAGGAGGGAAAGCTGTCACTTAGAGGCAAAGGAGTGGGCTGAATATTTTGTTCTTTTCCTGCATGATGAAGAAAAATGATTATTATCAGAAAATGTTAAAGGGGAGACTAATTGCTTGTTGCTCATTTCTGAAGCATGATATCTCATTTTGATTCCACTCTGCCTCTTTTAATCAGATTTTAATATTTATCCTTATTTGTGACCCTGCATTGCCAGCAATACTCCAGGTCTGGAGGCTGCAGCACCTGTTCACCTCTGCTCTAAGAGAAACTCGTGTGAGATAGCTGAAAGTGTGTGATTAGAAATCTCTGTGTCTCTTATTCAAAGAGCTAGGAACGAAACAAGACACGAGTGAGAGGAAGATAAAGGGAGATCTCATGGGCCATACAGCAAATATTCATTGGGAACATGGGCTCCAACATGCCCCCATGAAGCAATAACCCAGGGGTGGCCAAGGAGCCTGCACACACAGTTTTTCCGTGATAAAATTTTTGGCCTGGACCCCAGAGAAGCTCTTACCTGCCACGGCATGGGGGATGTTGGTGATCATCACCCTCTGCGTCTGCGTCTTGATGCCCGTGTCTGGGTTCTGCATCTCCATCATCAGCGCCTCGATCTGCAACACATAATGGGATGGGTTACAGGAGGGAGCTCAGCACCACTGCAGCTCCCAGCAGCATCCCAGGAATGGATGCAACACCTCAACACCTCCCCTTTCCAGGAGGGTTCCTACTCCTCCTACAAAAGCCGATGTCAGCTTTTGTGCTGACTCAGTGTCACTGCCTCCTACAGACAGCACATGCACAGGCAGGGTGTGCAGACGAGGGACAGGAACTAACCACGCCATGAGAGAGAAATGTTAAAAAATTCTTAGCTTTTCTTTTATTTTTTTAACAGGCCTAACACCGCAACATTTTTCTTTTATTGACAGAAATCTCTGCTACCCATCAAAGTTCTTCTCCAGTCCAGTGGGCTCCTGGCTGGGGCAATAAGGGAAAAAAAAAAAAAAAAAGGAAGGAAGGAAATAAAATCTGGAAAGCTGCTTTTGTTGCAAAAATACCCCAGCTGTGCACATTTGTAGGTATTGCACCACGCACCGAGAAAACAAGCAATATTTTGGCTGTCACCCAGCCAGCAAAGGTTCTGCTTCTGGTCTGCAGAGAACAACCAAGAAGAGCACTGGGAAAAGCCCCGTGCTTTGCTGTGGGGCTGAGCAAGAAGCGAGAGCCCCGGGGAGACGAGAAGGGCCCAACCTGAGGAAGCACAGCTGGGGATTTTCAAAGGCATTTTCCTTCTCTTACATTTCACATCCTGACAGCAACACCCTAACGGAGCACGAGCCTCCTGCTCAGGTGAGGGGTCTGCAGAAGATGCTCTTCCTTTTGCCTTCTGCTGCCGGAGATATTCAATCCAAATTGCCCCACCAGGACCGATTCAGTCTCTCTGCACTTCCATTCAGGGAGGCAGTAGCTTTTTAGCTGGGATCAGTGGATTTAATGAACGGGACTTGATGACACCCCGGCACAATGAGGGGCATTGTTTCCACAGGCACCACAGTGACTTTGGTCCCCGGGCTTGCCAAGTTCAGCGAGGATTTAAGCTGTAGTGACAGGATGCAATCTGGGCTTGACAGTAAAAATGTATTTTCAACTGTGTTTAAAGCCAGTGGCAAATTATGACTGTAACAGAGAGGGCTGCTAACATCTCACACAAGTACTTCGATATAAATACTCCCATAAAATACTTCAAAATAGCAAAACCAGACCCAAACCAATGCAACGTGACGATTTTTTAAAGACATTTTAACTGACCCACTGAGCTGAACCCATTTATTTCAGTGACAGCACCATCTTGGCCAGATGCAGCACGGACAAAGTCGTCACCTCCTTGGTTACCTTCTGAGATCTGAGACTTGTGGGTTCAGCTTCAGCTGATGGATGAGGAACGGGACTTTTCTCGTGCAAGAGAGCTGCGAGACCCTAATTTACTCACTCTGAGCTGAAAGTCCTCCCTCTCTCCAGCCCACATGGCTCTGCAATCACTTGGGTCCCAATTTCAGCCTCAGCAAGTCCCAGACCAGGCGTGGAGAGGCGCCCACGCAGCCACACAATATGGGATGAAGCAGGACGGTCCCACAGGTAGGGCACTGATTTAGGAACCTCATATTGAGTTCAAATCCCCGAGATCCCCCTAAGCAAATGCAGGGGATCTCGGGGAATTCCCTTAGCCTCTCTGTAACCCTCTGCTCTGCAAGGCAGCATCTCCTCACCCCGCAGGGACACCGGGAGGTAAATTCAGGCTGCTCATTGCCACCAAATTGCTGCACAGCGGGCAAACCCCAGCTCAGCCTGCCTCTTCCCCTTCTCCCAGGGGAAGCCCAGCTCATTCCAGGTTGCTGGAGACGAGGAGCCCGCCAGCGGGAGGCCCGGTTAAAACCCAGCGAGGATATTTCCCTGCTTTGCTAAGGGCTGTCACCCATTTTGTCACGCTTTGGGCCGGGGAAGCAGCGCCTGGTTTGAGCTCTGCAGGGCGAGAAGCCACTTCCTGCCCTCGGTCGATGGGTGGGGGACGTGCAGAGAGGTAAATACGAGAGGAGCCGGGCTCTGGAGCAAGCTCGCCTCGAGCACCGAGCTGCCACAAGGCTCGAACCCCGCCGAGGAGTCCCGCCGGGCCAGCCGGAGCATCGGCACGGGGGCGGCGTCACCCCAAAAACCGCAGCGAAGACAACAGGAAAACTGCCTCCCGACCGCTCAGCGGGGTTGTGATGTGCAGAGCGAAGCTCTCCAAGCCGGCAGCGGTAAGAAAAAGCATTTCGGGAGCCCCCAGGATGGAGAGGGGCCTCCCTGCGAGGTGCTCACCGGCAGCTGATGTGCTTCGGATGGAAAGATGAGGAATTTTCCAGCAGCTTTGGTGCTGGAATTAAACACCTGCAGCCTCCGCTGTGACCGTGTGCCCAGCTCTGGTCCCCCCCAGTGCCTCGCACCACCTGTAAAAAACCCCAAACACCTCCCTGCCCCGCTCCCCAGGTAGCAGCACACGCTTCCCTCGTTACTCCAGCCTCGCAAGGCTAACTCCATTATTTTTTTTTCTGTTTACAACAGTCCTGCTTTGCATATTTGGTGATGATCAGGAAAAATATAAAAGAAAATAAAAGAAGAGTCCCTTGTTACCCAGCTAAAACTTCCTGCTTTTCCTTAGCCAACGGTGAGGGCCGGAGGCCTGTTCCCACCCCACACACACACACACCCTGAGGCTGTAACTGGGGAAAGGAGGGCTGTAAATGGGAAAGGAGGGCTGTAACTGGGGAAAGGAGGGCTGTGGCTGCCTCTGCCCTTCCCCATCAGGCCGCCAACCCCACTGCCAATTAAACCCACAAGGAAGCAAACCCAAAGCAAAGGGCAGCTGTGCACCTGGCCTCACCAGGGCATGAGCTTCTCGTCCCTAGGAGACCATGGGGAATGAGGAAGGGGCTCTCCTGTGCCCACAGACGGGGCATCACACCACCCACAGGTTTCCTGGCAGCTCAGCTCCAGCAGCGTACGGGGCCTCAGGTAAACGGGAGCCTCCTGAAGGGCTCCTTCCAGTGACACCCCAATTCCAGCACTAACACCCCGCTGGAAACGGCCAGGGGGATGAAGAGAAGCTGGAGAGCCTCTGTGGGATGAGGGTGCTGGGATGAGAAGCCCCTGGCCCTGCTGCAGGTCCAGGAGGAGCCGCCTGGCCGCCAGGGACCAGAGCAAGGAGGAGGCAGAGGCAAATCCAGCAAACCCTACCCACCAGCTCTGAGTCACGATGCGGCTCCTGTGGCACAGCAAGGAAAAGCACACAGCCCACCAGCTGCCGGCGAGCGCGGCCCCAAGCAAAGTCCCATCGCAGCATCTGGCCTGAAATGTGCCTTTTGGGGGTTTTCTCCCTGTCCTGAGGGACTTTCTTGGCAGTTTAGGGAAAAAAAAAGTAATAAATCAGCCTAAGCATCAGTCACGGGCATTTTGTGGGGAGCATCACAGAGCCCTGGGGGGCTCCTTGGTTCCCCTGGGGGTCAGACACGAAGAGCGAGGCCCGCAGAGCAGCCCCACAGCAGGTACACGGCGCTGCCCACCCCCAGAGCAAACTCCTTTTTATCTCCCCTGACCGACCATGGGACTGCTCTGGCCATGAGAGTCCTGCTGGAGACACATCGTGGACACAGCACAGACCCGTGGGCACCCAGCAATGCAGGAAACCCCTTGTGCTGCTGGCACGAACCACAGCTACGGCATCCGTGCCAGCTGGTGGCAAAGCACGAGCCCGGACTTAAGCAATTAACAAAGCTTCTCTCCAGGATTTTAGCTCCTCGAGGCTCTAAGCCCGCAAGGCGCTCGCTGGAGGCATGCCAGGCACTTGGATCCCACCGGGGACAGTCACGAAAGGTCTGCGGGGTGGCAGGGCTGTGCCCCGGGGCCACAGCCATCAGCACAGGTACTGTAAGAGCTGAGGCTCATCCACAGCTTCCCTGAGGTCTGGAAGAAAGAGAGGAGGAAGGGAAGCAGAGGTGAGAGCCGAAGCTGGTGTGCTGACCGTCCAGGAGCTCCCCTTCCTAAGCAGTAGAGCAAGAACTCCTCGAATCCTCTGCTGCTCAGTGAGCTGCTGTGCTTGAACAGCTCTGCTCACCTGAGGAACTCCGAGCGCTTTGCGAGGATGGCTACACCCCCGTGGAGCAGCTGAAGCACAGCTGGGGGAGGTTTTCCCAAAGCACACAGCTTCTCCTCCGCGCTCCTGCGTAAAACCCCGCAGGGTGTTACTCAGTGCAGAGTTTGGCCCAGCGTGTTTCCTCCGGCAGGGCTCCCCAGCCAAATTTACCTCGAAAGACACAGCCCCGAAGAAAATCTCCTCCTTGCTTCCTCCAGTAAGAGGAGCACGGGGGGGCTCTTGTTGTGCCGGGCTCTCACCTGAGCGCTGAACAGCCTCAATTTTCCCCCCTTTTTCCCCCAGAACCTCCCCAGCTCCTCAGGTCGGGGGCGTTGCAGGAGAGCTGTGATTCGAGCAGCGGCTGGGGGCTGTGCTCGTCGCTGGGCATCCAGCTAATTCCACTCAACAAGATAAGCCACGGGCAGGAGAGGTGGGTGGCAGGGGAGCTAGCTTAACACTCTGCTTTCTGAAACCTCGGCAGATAGCAGCTGCGCTAAAACCGGTTACACTTCTGAATGAATGCTGCAGGAAAAAAAAACACTGAATGCTTTACAAGATTACACATCGCATCCAAACGCGTGGGCATGCGTCTTCCCACTCCTTCAACTGTTTCTGGTCACAAATACGCTCGTTTCTGGAAAAGGAAAAAGTGGAAAGAGGCAGGGAGCAAGCTGCTGGCCAGGATGTGTGCCCTGGAAGCAGGCAGGGGCTGGGAGCACTGGGAACGCACCGCAGGCCGTAACACGGAGCAGAAGTGGGCGGCCGGGCACCGTGTGCGATGGGATTTCCCCTAGGGAATGACACGGTTTTTGGGGAAACACATAGGAGAGGGAGAAAAACTGTCACAGTAATTCATCTGAAGCAATTCTAAATAAATAAATCAAAATTGCAGATTTCTTTTCCCCTGTGACTTCTGACCAGCTCGCCGCCAGCCCCCTAACCCCAAACCGGGCGGGTGCCAGCAGGGCTCCAGGTGGCTCCGCAACAGGTCCCGGCCCCGGGGATGGGGACGGGACCCCAAAAAGGCTCCGGGGAGCCGCAGCCCGGCAGGATGCTCGGGTGGCTGGGCGTGGGGTGGATACGGGGACCCCTGCCTGGACCATCTGAGAGCACTGCCTCGAGCATGGCATGGCATAGGATGGCATGGCACGGCATGGCACGATATAGCATGGCATGTCACGACATGGCATGTCACGACACGGCATCGCATGTCACGACATGGCTTAATACGAGCCCGGCGTAACCCCCAGCGCTGCCAGGCGGGCTGTGAGCTCACCTTTTTCAGGAAGGCCATCCGAGGCCGGTAGCGCTGCCCCTGGTCCAGCCGTGTGACGGTCATTGCGGAGCGGAGCGGGGCCGAGCCGAGCCGAGCCGTGCCCGCCGGGCAGCACCTGCCCCCCGCCGCCCCCCGCCACCGCCGCCTCCCGGCCCCCTAAGGGGGCGGAGCCTCCGCCGCGCGTCGTAGCCAATCAGCGCCCGCCGCGCCCCCGGCTCATTTGCATAGAGGCGAGGGGCGGCGCGGCTGCCGCCTCGGGGCGCTAGTGGGGAGCGGGAGGGGGGCGTGGCCTAAACGGGGTGGGCGTGGTCTGAGTGTGTGGGGGCGTGGTCTGGGCGCGGGTGGGCGTGGCCTGGGCAGGGTCGGATTCTGCTCTGGGTGCTGGGCTCTGGGTGCTGCCCTTGGGGGGCTTTGGGGGATGCTCCTGGGGGGCTCTGGGGTTTGGGGGCTGCCCCTAGGGGGCTCTGGGAGCTGGAGGCTGCTCCAGGGGGGCTCTGGGAGCTGCTCCTGGGGGGCTCTGGGGTCTGGGGGCTTCCCCTGGGGGGCTCTGGGGGCTGCCTCTGGGGGTCTCTGGGGTCTGGGGACTGCTCCTGGGGGGCTCTGGGGGCCAGGCGTGGGGGGCAGGCAGGGATTTGTCCCCAGCAGGCTCCCTGCAGAGCCCCCACGCAGCGCTCCCATCATAGAATCAGGGAGAAACCCTCCCCAAAACGCTCCTGGCGGGGGTAACGCAGGGTGCTGTGGCCACAGGCAGGGGCTCAGGCACTCGTGCCCTGAATGGCAGCGGCTGTCACCGGCCCTGCCTGCGTGGTTTTGGGGCTTGGGTGGATTTGTCATGCGAGGAAAGGGTGAGTAACGGTGCCCGGAGGAAGCCCGCAGGGTTACGGGGCACTTCCTCGCGAGGCAGCCGACTCACACTGCTGGGTGGGGGATCAGGACATGATGGCAGCGCTGGAAACTGTGAGCGGGGTTTGTGGGGTCGCTCGGGTGAAGGGCGGAATTTCCTCCTGCTGCTGGGGAGCACAGGGGGCTGGGACACCCCACACACCGCAGCTGATGGTGCCAGGGCTCAGGGTGGGCATCCCCTGGGTCTCCTGCCCGCCAGGTGGGCACGGTGCCTTTTGTCCTTGCACACCCGTAGGTGCTGCGTGCGTACAGCCACACACTGCAGATCCATTTCCACCACAGTTTGTGACAGCTCCGACATGCCACGCTGTGCTCATGTGCTTCAGGAAAGCACGTTGGCTCAAACAGAGCTTCCTCCCCTCATACCGACACCCTGAAGGCACAGGCGTTGCTCTGCTGCCCTCGTGGAAGTTTTATCTCCATCTCTGTTCTTTCACAGCGTCTGAACAAGCCAGCGCTTTGGAAGGCTCCTCTCCTGTGTCTGCTTGGAGCCATTCCCATGTGAAATCCCCGCGTGAGTCACAGCAGCCGCTGGCTCGCAGACACTCCTTACTTTCCAGAGGCTTTTCCACCGTGCTGCGGTCTGTGCTGCTTGCTAACTTGATGCCGATGAGTAACCTCTGGCATTCCACACGCTCGTATCAAAGTTAGCCTACCTCATGCTCCAAGGCATCAGCTGCCTGACAGAAGGAGCAGGAGGAGAGCTCTGCACGCGCTTGCAGTGCCTCCTAATTCAAGTGCTGAGTTGCTGTTGGGTTTCTCAAAATCCTCAGATCCTCAGGCCCTCCGAAACTGCCAAGACAACAGAAACTCTGGTGGCACTGCCTGTTCTGTGGGCAAACAGGAGAGAGGGAATTACAAGGGGAGTCCAACAATAAAGGGAAAAAACAGTGAAAGCGTGCAGGCATTTTGAAGGTGGTAGCGAACAAAAGTGAGACAGATATCAGCAGGAGAATAGGATGTCTGTAACTCCTAGACATGATACCAGGGTAAATGGCATTCAAAAATATGTAGTTCAATTTCTTGGTTTTGTAAGCCAACTGGGAAAACTCTTTATAAACTACAGATGTGTTTTTTTTCTGAACTGCTCTTGGCGCTGCCCCCCTGCAGGACCCAGAAGCAGCCCAGGTGAGACACAAACACCGGCCTAAATAAAGGATTAGTTACCACCAACTGCATGCACCCCATGCAGAGGAACAAAACCAGTCATTTCACCCCAAAATACTGCCTTTACATGTGTCATTGAGGCATCTAGGTGTCTTAGTTAGGAGAAACACTTTTGAAAACTGGGGCTACCCATGAATTCAAAAAAAAACAAACCAAAACTTCCTTGCAGGAGATCCAGGAGAAATAGCTGGAAGGAGCTCCAGCTCAGGTGGGAGCTCTAATCTTGCTGAGCCCTGAAGCTCCTGGCAATGTTATACCCTTCTGTCCCACCCTGACACCCTCCTCATAGCCCAGGTTTGGATTTTTTCAATTTCTATTCTTCCCTGACAAGCTCAAATAAAACTTATGAGCACGTCTCTGCCTGTTACAAAACTACCTCGTGTCTTTGTTAGAAAAACACCCAATATAAATTCAGCGATGATAACATCTGGAAATGACACAAACCAGCAAACACAGAGATCAGAGATGAGCCGCGCTTCACCTGCTGCCTAGGTGAATTACCCCAGCTCTTAATGCACCACGGCAGATTTGCCACGTGAAGCACGAGGCATCTAAAGCTGATTAGACAAGCTTGTAAAGGGCAGACAGCCCTGGGCTTTAATGACAAAACCCTCACTGGTGGAGAGCAAAGAGACATTTACTGTCCCCGATACAGTCCTGCAGTTATTTGTGTGAATTTGTGAGTCAGGAAAGCAACGGGCTTGGACAGCGGGGCAGAGCAGCAGACAGAGGGCTGGCACAAGCCTTGCAGGCTCGCTGCCTTCCCACTAATTTCTGGTTCCCTGTGTTATTCCTGACCTGTTCCACACAGGGAAAGGTCTGCTCAGAATTAAACTGTGTCTTCTGGTCCTCCTTGTGAAGTCCCTGTGGGTAACTTTCACTCTCACCAGATGAAGCAACAATTCTTGTCGCTTTCTCTTGTGGAAAGCGCTGCAGGTGGAATCCCCCCAGGTTTAAAGATCACATTTCCTACGTGGTTGCCCCTTCTTCACACATCAGAAGTTCATCATGCAACACAAAAGGCATGTGGTGAGTAACTACCTTTCTATCTAAGGAAACAGGGGCCGGCGGTGAGGGGAAGGAAGGAGTAACGTAAATGAATCAGTGAGAATGGCCCTGCAAGTGTGTCAAGCTCAGGCTGAATTTCGGTACGCAGTTCCTTCCAGGAAGATTTCAAAGCAGTTTATCAAAAAAAAAAGAGTGCAAACTTGGCAGAGAGAGAGGCATGACTTAATCTCAGGTCTCCCAATAAGGCAATGGTTGAAGCAGTATCTCCCCAGCCCATTGTCCTGTGTGGCAGGGCACACGCACTCCAAGTGAGAGGCTTCCTCAGCTGCCACATAGGAAGAGCTGTGAGCAGGAACGGGCAGCAAGCATTCATTTCCCATCACTCCTGGACTTTCCAGGGACAGGAATGCTAAGTTAAGAAGTGTCAAAGGGAAAGGAAAAAAAAAAAAAGGAAAACAGAAAAACCTTGTGCACCCTGCCTTGGAGATGAAACTTGGCTGCTTGGGAGAGAGGATGCAGCTGGGTTCGCTCACACCTGATGCAGGACGGAGCTATTTGGCTTCCCCTGCTGAGCTGGCTAACATTCAGTCTCCTCTCCATGGAAATCTGTCATCCTCAGAGCAGGAATAGCCCTTCCTTCTCTGCAGTACCCTGAGGGCCACGTTGGTTTGCCAGGAGATTGGGAACGATGCACCTAGGAGGCTCTGAAGGGCTTGGCCACTGCTGGGAACGTGAAAGGGAGAGGAGCGATGGCAGCACTGAGGGCAAGCCATGGATGGCCCAGCCCTTAGGAGAAGTGGACAGCTGGAAATGTGGAATGCAAGTATTAGAGAAGAAGGTGACAAATCTGGGAGTGGGGTGGCAGCCAGCAGCAGTGACAGGGAGCTGCCCAGGGACGGCCAGCAGGAAGCAGCTGCCTGGAGCACTGCGGCTGCAGGGACAGGCTCCAGCAAGTCACTGGGAAGGAGAGTGGGTGGGCAGAGTGACGCGAAAAGAGGGAAAAGAGGAAGGAAAAGGGCAAAACTGAGACTGCCAGGGAGAGCTGATGAGGGACTGAAGCAGTCTTGAAGGAAGCACAGGTAGACCTAGGAGACACCTGACTATCGTGAAGCAGATCTGACCTCTGGTGAAGGATATCCTGGGTTAGGAAGGTGGTTTTGCTGTTGAAAGACACCAAGAAATAGCTATTACTCTTCATTCCTTCCCCTGTTATTGTTACCGCCCAGGTTTTAGGTGCATTTTGCTGACGGCCTGGAGGAGAAGGACTCATTATGGCATCCCTGCACGGGCCTGGCTGTCAGCTGCCTCTTCTGCTTCATGACTTTTATTTTTCCTAAACTGCATCTACTGCCTTCTGCTTTTTTTGTTGTTGTTATACTTCACTGGTAGGTGTTAATTTGCTTCTCAGAAAGGAGGCAATCACTGTTTTTAAACCTTGGACAAGAGCTCACAAATTACTGTCTTCCATGTCTGTACTAAAACCACCAGGATGTGCTTATTAGGTGACTATATGAATTTTATACCACATCCTGCCCTCCTATAAGAAATGTTGTTTTGTTTTCTTTTTTGCAAAGCCATATGGAAGGAGACCCTTCCAGTAGAGGCACAGTGATATTTCCTTGAGTTAAATTCAACTCAGTTTCCTCCGTCCTTTCTTCCTATTTTCTAATTTAGGATTATCGTTAGAAGAAGCAGAAACACGCCGAGAGAAAAGATCAGCAGGCATCACATTTGAGATGTAAGGAGAAATGAAAAAAACATTTAAGGTTGCCAGTTATCCTGTGGACCACATCTCGTCAGCGCAGTCCTGCATTGGCAGTGCCGTGTCACCTCACACTACGCTGGTTTATGTGTCAGCATTTGTAGGGTAATTTTTTATGTTATATATGTGATTAGCAGAACAATTGTGCCGAGGGATGGATCACACGAGGAGTGGGATTTTCAATCCTTGTTTGTGCTCAGTATATTACTTGCTTTATCCATCACGTGAAGGGACATTAACTTTTAGGAAAAGTTCAATATTAAATACATTCAAAGGGCCAAGCCCTGCTGGGAGGCCAGCAGTGTTCGTTCAGCGTGTTATATACGGAGTGATAATTCATGTTGAGAAAATGGTTGATATTAATAAAGGGGGAGATTTGGGAGTGTATACTTTATTTTATAAGTATAAATATTACAAAATTCAGATTGAGATTTCATTTATAACCAGCGTGTTGCCATCACCTAGCAGCACGGCAACGCTCTCCTCAGCGGAACCAAGCAGTGCACACCGAAACGTTGAGCCCGCTTCCACAAAACCACTCGAGCCGCAAAGATATTTTAGTATAAAACCATTTTATTTCCTCACTGAGAACGCTTCACCAAGAGCTGAGCACCCCGAGGTGCGTGTTTGTGTGTGTGTGGGGGGGGTGAAGCGCCTCACATCCACCATGGCGCCGCGCTTCCCGCCATTTCCTGTCAGGCCGGGCAACGCGCGGGCGGGGCGGTGGCGGCGCTGAGGCGAGGCGGGGCGGGGGGCGCATGCGCGTTGCGCAGGGCGGGCTGGTGCGGGCCGGGCCGGGCCGGGCGGCCGCTCCCCTGGCTGGCAGAGTGCGCTAAGATGGCGGACTTCCTGCCGTCCCGCTCCGTCTTGTCGGGCTGCTTCCCCGGCTGCCTGCTGACCAGCGGCGAGGCCGAGCAGCAGCGCAAGTCGAAGGAGATCGACAAGTGCCTGAACCGCGAGAAAACCTACGTCAAGCGCCTGGTGAAGATCCTGCTGCTGGGCGCCGGGGAGAGCGGCAAGTCCACCTTCCTCAAGCAGATGAGGATCATCCACGGGCAGGATTGGGATCGGGCGGCTCGGGAGGAGTTTCGGGCCACTATCTACAGCAATGTGATCAAAGGTGCGTGTTTGGGGATCGTCTCCGTTCTGTGGTAGCCTTGGGTCGCCGCCCTGAGGGGCTGGGGGCTGGCTGTGGGGTGCTGGGGCCGGTTTTAGGGCCGCCCCGTGGCTGCCCCGGCCCTACACTGAGGAGACTCCGGTCCTGGCCCCTCACAGGGCTCGTCCCAGCCGGGCTTGGTGACCCCTGGGGCGAGGGGTGAGCCCTCATGACGGGAAAAAGGCTCCCCTGGTAGGGTGTGGGGAGGGGATGGGGCCTGGGGTGGAGGGGGAAGGGGTTTGAGCCCCTCGTTTTGGGGTAAAAGGGCTGCCCCCGGCTGGGAGCTCACCCAGCAGCCGTCTCCGGGGTGCGTGGCTCCAGGTTTCGCTGCTGTCACCCTCCTGTATCTGCCACGCTTGCTCTCTGCTTCCCAAATCACTGCTTTTGCTGGTCAGGTTTGGAGTTGGAGCTGGGTGACGTTGGGACAAAGTCATAACCAAGTTTCCAGAGGCAGCACAGTACAGGTATCAGCCCCGCTCCTCAACAGGGCTCCTAAATCCCACCGGTTCTCAGGGAGTTGCTTTACAAGGCTGTGCACAAATCAGGTCCAAAAAACTCAAAAAATAGCAAGGTAGTGAAAATCACAAACAGGAAAGTTGATGAGGTTATAGTCTATTAATAAAGTAATTCTTACTGCGCTCGAGTATACCTGTAGGAACTGCAGGTCGTCTTTTGCTGAAATCATTGCTTTTGACAGATACAACAGTCAGAGTGGAATTGAAAAAGTACCGTGGTGTTGAAGGGGCATGTCATCTTACAGCAGTCTGTCAGTGCGTCTTATACCTTCCCCCACGCCTTTACAGTTGCTTATTCTTCCTGGGTTATTATTTCTTTGCCACTAGTAAATCTAATAGTAGAATTTAGTTCATTTGATTTATCAGTGTCAGCACAGTGGTCTTTTTTTTATTTGAAGACCTGTGTAAGGCGAGTTTAAAATAATCGGTTTCTCTTACAGAGCATTTACTTAAAAAAAAAAAAAAAAAAAAAACAAACTACAATAACTGTGGAAAAGTCTTTATGTAAAACAATTCATTCTGCTCTTAAGTGGTAAAACACTGAGTTGAGAAAGTGCTGTGACTTTAGTAAGTGTAGTCTACATATCTGTGAAAATATTAAAGGCAGTGACAATTCTCTACAATGAGTTATAACTGTACACAAAGTTAATAAGAATACAAGGACTAGGCAATCTTAAAAAAAGCCATCAGATGCTTTAACGTGTTCTGAAATGAGCTTTTAAACATGTTTCCTGTGTCTTGTTTTTCTGCCAGGTAAATATAATGGCGGTAAAATGGTTTTGGAGATCAGAGGAAAGGAGGAATATCTGTAAAAGTTATTTACATAGTGGCATAGGTTGGGGATTTAGTAATTACTGTACTTCTGCAGGAGTTAAACTTGTACTTTGGATGTTACACCGTTTATTAAGGCCGTGCTTTTCTGGTAGCAGTTCTCAGAGTTTTGATATTACCTGGAAATGTAGTACTTAAAATCAGTTTTTCAGAACCTTTTTTATTTTCTGCTGGGCGCATAGTCTTACTGAACCTCGATTGTACAGAGTGAGGGTATTGTTTGAATCCTCGCAGACTTGTAGGCCAGTGAAACATTAGATGCTGAGAAATCCTAATTGCGCTGCTCTTTCATGTTGTTAAAGGTGTGAGAGTCCTCGTAGATGCCAGAGAGAAACTTCATATCCCGTGGGGAGATCCTGCTAACCAGAGCAATGGAGATACGATGATGGCTTTTGATACCCGGTCGGTCACGGTGGTGCAAGGGATGGTGGAGACAGCAGTTTTTTTACAGTACCTCCCGGCCATAAGAGCTCTCTGGGCAGACAGCGGCATCCAGCACGCGTACGACAGGCGCAGAGAATTCCAGCTGGTAAGATTTGCTTTTTGGATTTTTCAGCGGGGTGTGTGCTGTGTCTTGTTCCTATTTCGCTTTTCAGTGAAACGGGAAAAATTGATTCCTGGGCGGCCTCCTTACGGGTTTTGAGCGTTTTGGGTGGCAGACGGGTACACTGGTGTTGCAGACGGATGCTTAGCTTCATCCATAATCTTGTTTTCCAAAACCAAGATTAATGTAGAGCTCCTGACATAATTGTCCTCATTTAATATGTGAGAAAGCTCAGGTGTAGAGTGCTTTTTATGTTCTGCCACAGGGCTAGGACCTGTCTAGTGTTTTTACTGTATGATTATTTTTTACCTCGTGCTAACTGGTGCGTTAACTTTAAAAATTAAAAATCTTAGTTCACCATAAAGGAAGACTTGATAGCAATGTGATTTTTAGGAAAAGGTATGCATGGGTTAATGAGAAGAATTCAAAAACCACTCCCTTCTCTATTCCAATTTGAGCAATCTAGCAAACATTCCCTCTATACTTCCTGTTTAATTTAGAATGTCTATGCTAATTCTCGTGTAATGAGATTTTTGTTATATGGAAGTTCTCGGCTGAAGATGGAGTATACAATCCAACGGTAGGGCTGGGAAGGAAAAGGGAATGTCCTGATTCTCGAGTTGGAGCTTTAACTGTTTGTGACAGCTAAAGTCCCTCGATTTCCATGCTAATGGTGCAAAAGGAAATGAAGACTTAAGTTAATTTGCTGTTTGTTTTGTAGGCCTCTGTAGTGAAATGCCAATGGCATAGGGTTTCTTAGGGGTGGGGTTGCAGGTTGAGAACCTTAAAATAGATTAAATCTGTTCCTGTAGGTCTCTTAAACCTAAGTGGCTTTGTGTTTTTATGTCTTAAAAATAACCTTTGTGTTAGCATGAATCTGAACAATAGCTGATGATGCCTCCCGTTGAGCTATTATGAACGATTGTGTAATTGTAGGCTGTCTTAAAGAGGTTGTGTAAATACTCTTTATAAATATGTATTGCCCTAATCCTGGAGTGTCTTCCAGAGCCTGCTGAATGGCAGGTGCTCGAGTAGCCTATCGCCTGCCCGGCCTGGTACTGCGCTGGGTAGATAGGTTCCTAGGGAGACCTGACACTTGCATTTTGCATTCGGAGTGATCAGAAAGGGGTAACCGACCGCTCTGCTGTGTTCAAGATCCTCTTCTGGTGCAGATGTGACTTCTGTGACGTAACTGCTGTGCTGGAGTGAGCCGTTTTAAAATCCGTTAAGTAAAATCGTTTCGTCTTTACTAGGCACGCTTGGTGACTTCAGGTTAAATAGCTCCCTTTTCCTTCGCTGCTGCTGCTGTCATCTCGAGTTTCTGACAAGTAGGTTCTTTCCATAACTGAACCATGTGCAGAGTTTCACTTTGAGTAGGAGCTGAAGAGGTTTTCTTCTGAATTTACTGACGGGAAAGAAAAAGATTGCTATGTTTTTGGTAGCCCCTAAATCTGTATAGTATTATCTACTATATGTATGTCTTGGTTTAGGACAGAATTTAAAGTACTTCTTGAAGTGTTACGCATAGTTGAGTATTGTCCTAATACTAGATTTTGCAGATAGGTAACTGCTTTATTTATACTTATATTGCTGTATTTCCTAAATCCTTTCAAAATCTCAGCCCAGTGTATTTCTGCCAAGTTAGAAGCATGAGTAAAAAAGAAAAAAAAGCCGAATGATGTCATTGTATTGAGCACAAGCAGCGTGATAAAGTGATGCCTGAGCATCAAGTCTCAGTTTTGCCCCAGTAAGCTTAAACATGAGTTATGAGAGAGCTCCACGTGCAGAACGGAAGGACAAACTCCTGAAAGCAGTGCACGGTTTTGTCATAGCTGCTGGCAGACATTTATAGAAATGTGTTCAGAGTTCAGGTACACGTCGTGGTGTGGAGGGAAGACACCAATGATGGAGGAGGGAGTTATGGGTGTTCCCCGAGTCAGGAGGTAGGGTGGAGGAAACTGGAAGACACACAGATCAGTTATATTGAGAACTGACTCTTGAAATAAGGCTTAAAAGACTGAAAATGGCTGGTATTGGAATATGGGGAGTAAAAGACGAATACTGTTCTACGTCCAGTTCAACTGCATGCAGCAAAAAATGAAAGGAGAGAGATCAGCAATAATATAATTATATGTTTAGGGGAGAGGGAAGCGTGTTGTTTTAAAAAAAAAAAAAGAAAAAAAGTCCAGTGCTGGGACTGAGCATGGTAGAAGAGAATTATTTGCCTGCATCTACTCCAGACTGAGGGAGCTGAGCTTTTTTTCCACTGGACTGAGTTTGACACTGCGCTGAAAACATGGTTCCTATTATGAGGGCACCGGCAGGAATGCTGAGAAAATGCTGTTTACGATGGGAATAAGACAGTTTGGGGCAAAGGTAGAGGTGTGCAAATGAAGAACAGCGGTGATGGATAAGGAGTGAAACAAATTTACATGGAAATCCAGGAGAAAAGGAAGCAACAGTGCTGCTCTAGGAGCCATTTGCACTTGGAAGAGATAGGAAGTACAGAAAAAGAGAGGCCAGGATTAAAGTTTCTGCATTTATAAGCTAAAATCTGAAGGTGTTTGTGAGAGATCATGGAGCTGTTCTTGCTTCTGTTTCGTTTTAGTCCGTCTTCCATTCATAGTGCCAGACATGACTCTGGGAGCCTGAAGAAACAACGTAGGCTTTTTATAGCAGCGTGAGGGGGAAAAACAGAATGTGGTTAGATTTTAATGGAATTAGAAATCAGCATTTCCATGCCCAGTTCTTCCTCATTTTGGTAACTTCGGTGGTCATGCGAATAGAATATCATCTGGTTCCCTCGGTGTGACATAGGGGCCTGCTGGCCAGGCACAGCACTGTTTGAAAACTCATCAGTTCGCCTTCGTGTGATGCTTTAAAACTGGAAAGAACTAATGGCAGTTTATGGTGCAGCATACACAACTTCAGTACTGCTCAGTTGGTCAGTGTAACGATCCCTCAAACTTCGTTACAACCCAAAGCCATTCAGGTACCAACATGGGTACCTGCAGGTTATTTGGGATCTGTAGCTTAGGTTCTGCAGTTATGCTTGGGATTTTGGGCATCCTCAAGCTTGCTCTTCATCTCCTGAAATTTTCTCCTGTGGCCTTGCATCAGATAGCAAACGTGGATTATTGATGGAGTTGGTCTGTATCATCCTAATGCTTTGTCATCCAGTTAACGTTTTGGATTTCCCATTGCAAATTGATTTCCAATTGAAAAAAAAAAATATCTCCTGAAGGGACTTGTATAACCATACCCATTAGCTTAATTCTGCAGCATGCAGACCAGTGGTTAATTTCAGCACAAAACCCAGTCAGTATTCCAGTTGGTCAGAAAGCTGATGAATGCTGGAGTGAAATTTGTGTCACTTTGTTTGGAGGAGGTGGGAAGCAGCATATTTATTCGTATGGATGAGGAAGAAAACAGAGGTGTGGGGTTTTTTTGGTTTGTTTTTTTAAACTGGTAAAGGCTGTCTCAGGACCTACCTAGAGCTTTTTCCTGGCTGTTACGTTTATACTCAGGAGGTACTCAGACTTCTGTGGCTGCAAAGGTTTGCTGCTCTCATCGAGATTTGCTTTGAGGTGCTGGCAGCAGAGGAAGTGCCTTGCTCTGGTGCTGTGTGTCTGTAACACCGAGGACAGGGCCCCTGTGTGCTGCCTCTCACCTCAGTTCACCATGAACCTGCAGGTCCTGAGGCTTGCTGCTAGAGTCACTAACAAAGAAGGATTTTGAAACCATCTCCATGAGTCTTCTACTTCTCTGAGACTGGAAAAGAGGGATGCAATCTTCAGATGCATACTGTACATGCCCTACTTGCAGATCACACCGATTTTTGTAAATGCTGTGACCCTTCAGTGCCAGGAGGCAGCAATGACACTATTCTAACAGCATTTGCATAGAAGTGCAGCCACGGGTACAGCAAGGACGACTGGATGTGCATTTACTTCTGGGTCCTGTTTACTTTTGTGACATGTCTGCTAGTGCTTGATCAGATTATAGAAGACAGGAAAAGGCGTGTTCAGCTTGAAGTTCTGCTAGTTTAGCTGCAGCTTCTCTGTAGCATTTTCAGAGTGTTGTTTGTTTTACTGGAAGATTGTGTTTCGTCTTACTCTTTTGGGGCTTCTCTAGCTTCTGTCTCTGAGTATCGATGGGGCTGTTGTATGTAAGAGAACATCAAATTTCTGTGAATTTTCATTTATGGAAAGAGTCCGCCCTCAAATAGCCACTGCAAAGCATTAGCAATATTTGCCATTCTTTCAGGTCCGTGGGCCACAGGTCTGTGCCTGGTTATAGCATAGTGAAGCTGAGAAGGCCGGTGGTTTGACAGCTGACTAGGCTGCCCCGAGTTGGCGTCTTCCTCTTTCTCAAGTGTGGACACACGTCTTAGGAAACCGTTGTGAGGTCAGTGCCTCAGCAGCTCTGAAGTCACTGGTGTAGAACTTGGAAAAAGGCAGTGTGTGTTATCTGTACTTCGTCGGTGTCTTCTACATCACGCTTGTGACACGGAACTTCCAAAGGTTTTTGGCACCTTGTGCCCTCTGGCATGTGTAAATATTCCTCCTGGTATTCATCCTCTGCAGCCTCCCCAGACCCCCAAGCTGGGGGCAGAGATGTCTTTTATTTGCTTTTCTCCCTTCAATGTCCCAGATCTCCTGAAGTGCATAGGTGGCTCTTCTATTTCGGATGTGCTTGAGTGCATAAACTGTCAGAAAGTTTCCTAGACTGATGTAAGAATCTTCATTGCAGGCATGAGATCCACTCCCCCAGTATTTCTGTAAACACATGCATTGACTTAATCATATAATTGAGACTTACCGTATTTAAATAAAGCATAGTGATTACACTGACTGGTGCTTAAATTTTAGTGGTGAGAGAAAAAAAACGCCACAAGCCTGCTGCTGCTTTGTCAGTGTTGAAATACGAATTATATTCCCCTTTTTTCCCTGGCCTGCCAAATGTCCCATCACAGGATGGCATGT